GCAGAGACAAGGCCTTCCTGTCACTTTGATGTTTCTTATTGTATAGAAAACAAAAAAGTTCTTGCAGTGCAAGTTTGGCATAATAAATTGCCAAAGTGATTCAAACTAAACTGAGGAACTAGTTAGTTATAAAACTATTCTGTTATGGATTAAAGCCAGAAATACTTCAGTTAGAATGTGTCCAAACTATGTTGATTTGACTGTGAAGATGCCCCATTGCTTAATTCCTTCAGCATTGCTTTTCCGTACCTTGCCATGAATGAAAGTCATAACTAAGGCTCACATATGAGTAAAACTGTAGTCTAGATCTTTTAAGACATTAACTGAAAGCGGTAGACCTTAGAGTTTTTTTCCCTAGAATTGTAACTATTTCTTACCCCTAACTAGAGAAGGGGGCATCCATATATCCTCATTCTTTCACACTTGAGGATTTAATCAAAGGTAACATAATTAAGTGTAGAGAGGTTAAGATGCTGCAGAATATGATGACATAGCAGAATTCAACAGCAGAATGTATTCTTTATAGCTGCAGAAATGTTAATGAGAAATACTGTTATGGGATGTGCATGTATTTTTAGCTTGTTAACAACAGGATTTGTTTCTTTTGTTGTTTGCTTGATTTGTTACAGTTTTTTTCTTCTATAAATAATGTTTAAATGCTGTCTTTTGTGCCTTTTACCTCTCTGAATTTGCACTGAAATCCATGGAACTGCTTTATGGAGAAGTGGCATTTCAACATAGAGGCTGCAGAATCTATGGCATAACTTGATCCGTATTTTATATATATGCACTTGTATCTTTAATATAATTTAATATTTTAACATCAGTTGATATTTCTAGGTGCTATATAACTTTAGCACAAGCTTTGGGAATGAACATGGGAGGAGCTCCAGCAGGACCAGCTGGAACYGGYAAAACAGAAACAACGAAAGAYATGGGAAAGGCTCTGGGWAAATAYGTAGTAGTCTTTAACTGCTCTGATCAGATGGACTTCAGAGGCTTGGGCAGGATTTTCAAAGGTAAGATTTGTTCATGCGGGATAGAAGAGACTTCCACAGGTCATTTAGCAGGTGCAATTAGAGGAGGATGCTCAGTACCTTATTTGTGTTGGGTTTTGACTGTCTCCATGGATGGATGTTCTGCAACACCTCTGCTCAAGTGTTTTGACCATTCTCATTTTTCACGGTTTTTATACTGCCATTGACTTGCAATCCTCCACACTGAAGCATGTATCCATTGTCTCCTCTTCTTCCTCCACACCTCTGGGATAAGTTTGGCTCCAGTTTCTCAGTGMATCCTGTTATCTAGCTGTAACAGCAATAGGCTCTTCGCTTTCTCCTCAGGCTCAACAAACAATGTCCTCTCAGCCTCTCCCTCTATGTCATGTCCTCCCTCCGGCCATTGACCATCACAGCAGCCCTTGGTGCACTCATCCGAGTGTATCAGTGTCCCTCCCCTACTGGGAAACCCCAAAGTGAGCCTGGTACTCCAGTTGCTGTCTCACAAGTGCAGAGTAGAGGTGGACAGTGATATTCCTCACCCTGCAGGCTACATTCTTGCCCAGTATGCAGCTGGCTTGCCTTGATAAAGGGCAGAGCTCTGATTCATGCTTAATTAGCTCTTTAATGGAACAGCAGGTTGTTTTCTGCAAAATTGCTTTGCAATCAGTCAGCACAGAGCAAGTGCTGATGCATGGAGTTATTCTGTTTTAGGTAAGGGACTTAAACTTCACGAGATGTCTGTCAGCTTGTTCTTCAGAGTAATGGTGTTGTATATATTGGGAAGCAAGGGACATAAAAGTGGCTAAAGTTGTGGGACATATCGTCCATTTGAAAGWCATTAAAATTTTAGAAAATCTTTGAGTGGCAAAATTAATTACAGAATATCTTTAAAGTGATTTACCCTTTACTACACAACAGGAATAAACACTGAATGACTTGCATAAATTTTTCACAATTAAATAGCAAGTTTTCAGTATACATGAAGGAAAAATATGGCTTACTGGTACTTGAATAGGATTTGGGAAAGAATGCGGTTAGAAACTTTCTTGTAAAACACTGTGAAAGGAAAAACAATTCTCTTAGGTGCTACTACATACATGTTATTTTTCCAAACAGAAATTAGGCAACTGTGAAAATAATCTTATGCAAAAATATTCTTGATATTAATATAGTACTTCTACATTTCTCTTTTCATTTGTTTTCCTTTCTCTGGGTTCCTCTCTTTCTTTCTTAGACGTGTCCACACTTTGACTGTTGTTAATATCCTTTACTATTACGTGAGAAACTTGTTTAGTGGGGACTTAAAATGGTAAAATAAAAACCATGACATTTTTTGGTGACATTTAGGGCTAATGTTTTGTAGCTCTAACTGACTTATTTTTAATTTTTTAGATTAACAGTACAGCTTTTTTCAAATAATGGAATGATGCTCTACAATAAAAGGCTACATTCACAGAAYGATCTGTGCACAATATTTATGAAATGTCCCACATTATCAAAATATTTTTTTTTAATTTGATTCATTTTTAAGCATTGTGTATAAGTCAACTAATATTAGTTCAGACAGATATGGAAATAGTCAGGTGGATTGGAGGAAGATAGGCCTTGACCACAAGGCAATAAATAAAACTAATATGATTTAATTACTTGCAGGAAAATAATTTAGCTCAGATATTCAAATATGCATGAAGGGCAAGAGATAATATTTTTTTCTTTCCCTGTTTTAGGTCTTGCACARTCTGGATCTTGGGGATGTTTTGATGAATTCAACCGAATTGAGTTGCCGGTCTTGTCAGTAGCAGCRCAACAAATCTATATTATTTTAACAGCAAGAAAAGAAAAAAAAAAGCAGTTCATTTTTGCTGATGGAGACTGTGTAGATTTAAATCCAGARTTTGGAATTTTCCTAACTATGGTAAGTGTAGCAGTAATTTCAAAGAAGTGATAAATTATGCTACATGGAGGTTAAGGGACAAGGTGAAAGAAACTGGTTTAATTAATAAAATGATGTCMCTATAGAATTAGACTAAAATGCACAATAAAGAAATACTATTATTCATGAATGGCATACTTTCAGTTTTATTTTATTATTGAAAGGGTTCATAATTAAGTTCCTTCATTGCAGAATTGCTATTCACAATAAATACTAACAGTTTGACCAAATTTGCARAATTCTTTGTGCTCATTGAAAGGACTGAAACTCTAATATGCTTTAATAACATATCTTTAATAATGCTAATAATAATGCATTAATAATGCACTAATGCTGTGATCATAATATATTTACTAGTTTACTAGTATTAATACTTTTATAGTATTARTGAGAAAGATAGTGTAGGGAGGGARGAAAAAAAGAACATTCACTTATAGCAGGAGATACAAGAAAGATATTATTCCAGGACACAGGTCTTGACTAATAAGTACATACATGGATATATAAAAATTCTTCAATCTCCCAGAATATTAACTTAAAATATCCTATGTCCTTGCCATAGGATTCTTGAGGGCTCATAGCACTAATTCCTGTATCTTGTGGGCAGGAAATTTTGAAGTGTATGTTTCCTAATGCCAAGGAGGATGGCAATCCAAGATTACTTTRTAGGAGATTAAAACTATAATTGATAGGCAAGACTTCTAACCTGAACTGCTCTTCAGTTTTTATTGCATTTACTTTTATTGAACAATAAAAAGGAGGCTGTTTTGAGTATTGTAGATAATAATACTGCATTTTGTTTTCTTATTTAGAATCCTGGATATGCTGGACGTCAAGAACTACCAGAAAATCTCAAAGTTCAGTTTAGATCTGTTGCAATGATGGTTCCAGATAGACAGGTATAATTCCTGACTTATTTGAAAGGAAAAATTTATTTTAATTTGCTGACCTATCTTCAGGAGGAACTAATGTAATTTCTACAAATAATTGTATTTCAGATAATTATAAGGGTTAAACTTGCAAGTTATGGATTTATTGATAATGTGGTCTTGGCTAAGAAGTTCTTTGTTCTTTATAAACTTTGTGAGGAGCAGCTTACTAAGCAGGTAATGTTATGTGTTCYCTTTGTCTTTGGATTTACACTGTAAAACCTCCTACTTTTTGGGTTATACAGATTGTTTCTGAAACATCACTTCCCTRCCTTTTACAAAGTATTGAAGTATTTTAAATGTAATTTAAATAAATACCTCTAYAAAATTTCTGAATAAATTGATGCATTAATTAATGAATATGTAGTCATATATGCACAATTTTTTGTTTAAAATGAGGCTTTTTAGTTAGTTTCAAGTTTCAAGTTAGGCATGAGGGTCTCTGCCTAAACATRTCAGCYGGACAAAAATTATTGCAGTTATGTRAYTTTTCTGCAAGATTATCTAGGGCTAAGGTAAATAGTTGGAAATTGGAAACTGGAAAACAGAGGAGAAATGTCTAAAGTTTGATTTAAGTTGCTTATGTCCCCACATCACTGCCTTGATCTGAAGTCTGTGCTTTAAGATGCCTTTGCGGGAGAGACACAATCTAGTTTGGAACTACTAGTTTTTTGGAACCCTGCTATTCAGAGCTATAAAATATTTGCTGTATGGCATAGCAAATTTAAATTAGAAAACAAATACCTTACAGCTCACACACATCTTCCTGAAAAGAACTTTATTATCCGTCATTAATTTGAATGAAATAATTCCTAAACAACAGCAACAATTCCTATTTTAGCTACCTTTTCCCAGCCGGACAACTGCACTATGTAATATGCAAGTAAAACTTGATATATTGATGAAATAAAGCTAGGGAACTTGTTACTGACATGTAAGCCTTCTTCCACTCTCAAGGTCCATTATGACTTTGGTCTGAGGAATATCCTTTCAGTACTGAGGACTCTTGGAACTCAAAAGAGAGCCAGGCCAACTGAAGGCGAATTAAGTATTGTTATGAGAGGGTTAAGAGATATGAATCTTTCTAAGCTGGTAAGAATCTATTTTAGTATTTCATGCAGAGGCAAACCTAATAGATAATACATGGGTTTTGTATGAGATTAGAAAATATCTCAAAAATGCTTTTCTTTAAAAATTTAAACATGATAATCTTTGTGTAATCAAACAGCACAGAGTTTATAGATTTGTAAACAATGTTCTTTAAGATAGGTTTGAATAGATTAATAGTAATTTACGTATGCCTGTGACTTCTGTGTATTGACTTGTGCACAGACCCCTGTACCATAAATAAATTGAATAGTAAGTATCCACTAAATCAGACTTCTAAAGATTTCTTTCCAGAAAGGATGTTCTTTCCAATGTGTGGCGCAAGTGGTGTACAAATCAGTTTTACAAATAGATTCCAGTGTGTATTCAGTGGGAAATTTCTTTCAATTCAGAATTTCTCTTTTGGATGACATTTTCAAAATGCTATCTTTGTAGCAAGCTGTCCTGTTAGCCATCTATAAGCATATGTATTTAGAAAGTATGTTTTTACTGCTTATTCTTTTAAAACAGAMACTAATTTTGATTTGGAAACATTCTTTGGATAGCTGCTCTTTAAACACTGAATAACATTTTCTGTTTCAGATAGATGAAGATGAGCCTTTGTTTCTCAGTCTGATCAATGATCTCTTCCCGGGGTTGCACTTGGACAGTAGTACCTATGATGTGCTTCAGACTGCGGTAGGTCATCAGGTTGAAGAGGCAGGATTGGTTAACCATCCACCATGGAACCTTAAGCTTGTTCAGGTAAAACTTTTTTTTTCCAAAACSTATTTCACAATCAGGAGTCAGAACAACATGTCAGTAGTTAAACCATTGTCTTACCCAAAGCCCTGCACATCTWATATGGGAAAAACTGAAGGTTGTGYGTGCACCACGCTAAGGACGACCAATGCAAGGGACTTRCACTGTGTTGCCTGCAGATCTTCCTCCTGGGCTGATACAAGCCTTTATTCARCTTGCAGAGGAAGAACTGTATATGCTTCATCTTACAAGATTTTGGCACCCAGGAGGACTGCCATTCATCCTATTCACTTTGTTTTGTGCTATTCACTTCATTCATACTTGGAAAGGCAGACTGACACTTTCACAGCAAATCTAATGCTAACATTAAAAGAAAAATAGAAAATTCAATAGGGAACTCTCCTGAAACTACAGCCATACACAGTTCTGGAGAAAGTGCAGTCCCTGTGTTTGTTTCATATAGTCAGGTATTTTAGCACTATTGTGATTAATCATAATTCTGTTGTATTAATGTCTTGCTACTATTAATTTTTCCTTTTGAATAATACAGAAGACACTCTTCAAATCTGGTAAAGCTATTTTCTGTTGCTTTACAAAGGTTGGGTACAATTTAGTACAATTACTGTGAACTGTTTATAGTGAACTTGCTTGGTGCTAAGATTGGGAACTGAAGAAATATACTATTCCACAAAACACTAAAATTCAGCAAATGCATGCAGAGTTCAATCCTGAGCATATAACTTGTATATCTAACACATCTTAATCACTATTAAGTGCAAACAAAAATCTTTCTAAAGCATGTATTTATTTTTTATTTTTATTTTTTAATTGGAATATTTTCTTTTGATTTTATTGATAGCTGTATGAAACTTCTCTAGTACGTCATGGGTTGATGACACTTGGACCTAGTGGATCTGGAAAAACAATGGTCATAACTATATTAATGAAAGCACTCACAGAATGTGGCCAACCTCATAAGGAAATGCGGATGAACCCCAAAGCTATTACTGCTCCTCAAATGTTTGGAAAACTAGATGCTGCAACTAATGACTGGACAGATGGAATCTTTTCTACTCTGTGGAGGAAAACACTGAAAACCAAAAAGGGTATGTAAACACTTTTCATGTGGTACCATAAAAATGCGTCTTGCATGATATGTTGAAAAAAGCGTATTGAATTCAGAATTGTTCCTCTTGAGGAAAGCTACAGAGAGCATAAGATTAGAGCATTCTTAAGAAGGTCACCCTCTTCAAAATTTATTATTTCAATAGTATATCTGTATTAAGAAAATGGATCGTTTTCTTGCAACTTCAGTTCTACATTACAGATGTCTTACTTGGAAGCTGATGAATTACAGATTAGATTAACTTGGCACTATCTTTATTATAATGTTTTTTTCCCAGGGTTTTATATACATTGATTGGCTCTATTTGTATTTCAGTATTTTAGGACTGGCATATTGAAATTCCTTTTCAATAGTGTTTTATTTGTATCTGAAAATAGTGTTTTATTTGTATCTGAAAAAAATAAATGTATTAAAGAAAGGGAGTTCTTCTAGGGAACTTTTCTAGAATGATGTTGCTTTTAAAAGATAGTTGAATTTCTTACACTGGAAATGGATATGTTTTCCCTATTGGAAATTTTCTATATTCCAAATGAAGCCAGAATCCTACAATTTAATTGCCAAAACTTAGATATTTACATCTATTTTATATTTCAAAATAAAAGAAAAACAACCAGGTTTTAAGAACAGATGAGGGAACAGATGAGCATAGTTTTCATTAACTTGAGAGGGATCTGTGAATATTCAACATCTCTCATTTAGTTGACTAAAGAACTCTTATTTTAGCAACAAAATACTAAATTCCCCAAACTCCCTGTGCTGCTGGAGTAGGATTGGGGCAGGAAGAGGAAGGAGGAAGAGTTAGATTAGGTTGCGAAGAAAGAGGCTGAATCTGGAGAAAGAAAAGGGAGTAGGGGAAGGGTGTTTTATGTGTTTGCTTCTCGTCATCCAAGTCTGTGTTAATTTGCAATAAAATAAAGTTTTCMAAGTTGAGTCTGTTTTCCCCATGACAGCTGCCAAGTGGTCTCCCTGTCTTTATCTCAACCCRCAAACATTTAYACCTTATTCTCTCCCTCTGTCCTGTTGAGGAAGTGGAAAGAGTAGCACAGTTTCTATCTGGTACCCTGACAAGGTAACATTCAACACTATAAAGATATTTGGGTCCTCATTTGCTGTTAAAAAAAATATTGTTTAAAAAATATTTCCTTAACTAAGTATGCAATTCATTCAGTAATGAGCATCTATGGAGAYAGCAGAAAATATAACAAATAAAACAAAATAAATGTTTAAACCATCTTTTGCACACCTTTCTTGCTTTTTCARCAATGTGATATGAGCCATTTCTCTTTTGATTATTTTTCCAGGTGAAAATGTGTTTCTGATTTTAGATGGTCCTGTAGATGCAATCTGGATTGAGAATTTAAATTCAGTTTTGGATGATAACAAGACCCTCACTCTAGCAAATGGAGATCGAATTCCTATGGCTGCTTCATGTAAACTGTTATTTGAGGTCCACAACATTGAGAATGCCTCTCCAGCAACAGTTTCTCGAATGGGTATGGTCTTCATCAGTTCTTCTGTCCTCAGCTGGAGACCAATATTGCAAGTAAGATAATAATTGCTGGCYGCTCCTTATTATACCTTGCTATACATTTTATACAGAACATTGTTGTGGATGATTTTTTCAGGCCTGGCTGAAAAAACGTTCTCCTCAAGAAGCTGAACTTTTGCAAAGTCTGTATGATAGAATCTTTGAACCAGCATATACATATATGAAACTAAACCTTAACCCGAAAATGGAGCTTCTGGAATGTAACTACATTATGCAGGTAAAATAGCTATTGTATGAGTCTGTATGAATTGACTGATGATAACAAAATTGCAGAAATAGCAAAGAGAAATCTGATATTAAATCTGATTTTAATTTTAAAATAGTCTCTCCTGACAAAGAAAAGCTCAAGCTCAATATTTGTTTCTTGAGCAATATAAGAGGAACTGTGAAGATGTGCAGAAGAAAATTTTTCTTCTCTGTATCCCTTTGCACCTAGGCTGGTCTTCTAATGGCTTGAATTTGCAGGCCTCAGTAAATTTTCAGAAGCATACATTTAATAAGCTGGTGGACTCATTCTGGTTATTTTAATACCAAAAAAATTGTGTAAGGGTCACTCTACCTCTACTGGTAGTGTCAGCAGAGAGAGATTAATAATTCTTTTTATCTTCAGATGTAATAGATGTTATGCTGTCCATCAGCTCTTTCAAGGTCAATGTAGTAATTTTTGCCTCTCTTTTTCTATCAGTTGGACTTCTATCTTGAGTGGAATCCAAACTGTATCAGTGATTKATTACTAACATGTGTTTGGCAAATTTTGCAAGACTGGCAGTCCTGTACTGCATATCTCCAGCTGATTAGTCTGTTGTCATCTAAGCTCTAAGTTTCCAGACTTTCCATTTGTSCATGTAACCTGACTTTCATATTAACATACTCATTAAAAAAAAGTGTCAAAGTGATCGCACCTTTTCTTTCCTCCTTGTAATTTCCATTGGCTTTCTAACTCTTTATGCATCCTCTGGCCCACCTCATTAGGCAGGTAAATATAATTTACATTAGGAAATTCAACACAGTTTTTTTTTTGTTTAGAGTTATCCTGACTGTAGGAAAAATCAATAAACTTGTAGCTAAAAGAAATCTGATAGATTAGTCTGGACGTAGGACCAAAGGTGTTTGTCTTCGTTCTTTAGCAGGGATTTACATGGAAGCTGAACAGTCATAGCAGAGCACAGGAAGCTCATTTCTAGATAAATAATCTGTGGGGAGATAGGAAATGTGTGATTGGATTATCAGCTTTTAGGAAGAACAGAGGTTATCACTAATCCTGAGGCAGTTTTGCTGGGATCAATGCTGTTCAAAGTGTTTATAAACAATTTGGAAAAGTTTTAAGTGAAGAAGTTTAGTGACAGTACTAGATTATTCAGGGTATTAAGGACAAAACAGCTAACCATGAAGAACTGTAGACAGACTTTATGAGACTGAATAAATAGGTAATAAAATGGCAAATGAAATGCAGTGAAGATAAGCATGAAGGAGTTCACACAGGGAGAAAACAAACTGTTCAATGCTGTGAATAGCAGACCTACTGGATGGCTTGCCTAAGGTTGTAATAGACAATAAAAGTTTATGTAGGCTCAAGACCAGTCTTGATATTTTCAGGCTGGAAAAAACCACATAGGTTTATAAAACCAGAAAAAAAGTGTCTGTTGTTCAGAAAGTCTCAAGCCGAAGAAGGTACCAACAGGAAGTACTACCCCAGCCCCACCACAATCCAAGAGAGATTTTTACTTTATTTTTACTCCTCCACTTTTGGTCACTATTTGAAATGAGATGCTGGGCAAACATTGAAAGTATGTATTACTGTATTACTTCCCACTCCAAGTATGAGATCTAAGACAGCATGAAGAGTACTAATTCCAAGAGCCAATTGAAAATCTGTTTCTGTGTTAAAAAAAAAAAATTTAAACAATGTGCTGGACACTGCCTGGTACATAGAAGGGGAGTACAAATGGTGTTATCTAATACAGTCAAACATCTGAATTCATGAGCTGAAGTCAACAACATCACAGAATTGTTCATAGCAAGTTACTACTTTTCTGGAATCTAGATTCTAGTTCCTTATAAACAAGCGATCACATAATAGAATAATTTTGTTTATTTTTTTTAAACAAAAAAAAAAAATAAGTTAATGTGTTAGAGGCATTATTTGGTCATAATTGAGAAAAATACAGCAGGCAGATGCTGAAAATTCTTCCATGCATAAAAATGGAAAGAAATGGCTAGGCTTCACCTACTCTTGGAGTTCTGAGTATTATAAAATCCCTTAAAAAGCTGTTTTGTTACCCTGGATCATAAATTACATTTACTATGTAGGAAAATTCAAAAAGATAATTGATAATCAAATTACCTAAGTAATTTTGAAAATTTTGTCCAGTTATATATAGCTATCTTTAATCAATTTTATTGGGTTTTTAGTTCTGAATTTTATGTTTGGGGTGTTTTTTTGTAACCTGTACTGATTTAAATTTTGAATACTTATAAATAATGCAAGTGCATACATATATAGGTAAATAAAAAGTGATTATGTAATATTTTATAAATGCATATCTTAAAATATTTTCAGTCTATTAATCTTCTGGAGGGCTTGATTCCAACGAAAGAAGAACGTGGTGTATCAGCTGCACATCATCTGCATAAATTGTTCAACTTTGCAATAATGTGGAGTTTAGGTGCCCTTCTGGAGCTGGACAGTAGAGATAAACTTGAAGCCTTCATTAGACARCACGATAATAAATTAGACTTACCAAAAATACCTGCTGGCAGCAGTCATACGATGTATGAGTTTTATGTTAGTGATAATGGTAAGAAAAAGAAATAACATTGTTTTTCATACTGTCGTTTTAAAAMTCTTTTACTCCTTTGGTCTTTATTATACAGTCATATGAGTTGAGTTTTTTTGACGGTGTAGTACCAGCACATTGGTGGATGTGAGAAGCCAGAGRCAAAAGATAGAGTGCTCATTGCTAGCATTTTCTCATTTATTTTTGTTTTAATGTCTTTCTTACAAATTACTTTTCTATMAATTTAGCCAGCCTCCAATTTTTAGATAGTTCATGCTTAGGCTGGTTTAGTCTAACTCAATATTGTTTTATGTTTCATTTTATTAAGCTACTACTTTTTGTTAAAGGAATAGAACTTGATTTTGATTTGCTTAGTAATTATTATTCACAGCTAATAATCTGTTGTAAATCTGAAAGGTTATAGAACTGTAAGAATAGTGAGGTATTTTGATTTTTGATATTTTGAATAGTGAGCTATTTTCTAGAACACTTTTTTCTAGTTTAGCTAGTACACACAACCAATGTCACAAAAGCCTACTGTTATTACAGAGTGTGTTCTCTTCTGAACAAATTAATTTTGCTCGTATCCAAATTCACTTATTTTTTGCCAGCAACATTTATTTAGTCTACACATATGCAACCCATGCTCTCATGTTCTGTAATTTTTCACCAATGTGTGAGAATTAGTTTCTAGGTAAACATTCTTTTGGGTTTTTATTTAGATAACTATAAATTTAAGAAATATGTCTGTATTTAGTAGGCTTTTAAACTAAGGTCATGACTAAGAATGTCCTTTATTAGGTGCATTTTGGCTGGATTTGAAAAAATATATCCCTTTTTATACTTCTTTGTAGTATTTTACCCATAATATCTATTTTTAAAATTATTATATTAATGAAATACTGAGCATGATCAGAATATAATTAAATTTTCCCTTTTTGTTTTTTTTTTTTGGTCATTTCAGGTGAGTGGGAGCATTGGAGTAAAAGAGTTCAGGAATTTGTTTATCCAACAGATCATGTTCCAGACTATGCATCTATTCTGGTTCCAAATGTTGATAATACCAGAACACAGTTTTTGATAGACRTAATTGCAAAACAAAGGAAAGTAAGTACAAGATTACTTAGTTAAGTATATAACTATTATATAAAATAAATAAAAAACTACTTACAAAGTAACTCATGGTTACAATCATTCTTCATCTTCTCTGTCACTGGTCATTGCCTCCCAGGTATGTCATTATATTTTTTTATTTGCTTAACATGGATACTTTATAATTATTTCTGTCTGTAAACAAAACTTYAAAATACAAAAGGAAGGAATTTACACGAAACCTTTTTAGTGTCATCCATTAAAAGCAACTATTGCCGTGGATGTGTTGGAAACTAGAAGAAGTTAGGCAACTGGAAGAAAATGCTCTAGCACATTCCTGTTTCTTCCTTTCTCTTTTAACTCTGCAGTACTTTTTCTTGGAGAATCTATGGGGATGAAAAACATATGCAGTGTCAGTGCATGTGGAGACACAGGAAAAACCAATCAGAAAAATGTATAATTTAAAAATAGACACAGGAATTATTCCTTTAACAAAAATAGGTCTGTTATGCACATATCAGTTTTTATATTACTTATGTGATTTAAATATCTGTTACAGGCTGTTTTGCTCATAGGAGAACAGGGGACTGCAAAGACAGTCATGATTAAGGCATATATGAAGAAATATGACCCAGAAGAGCATTTGTCAAAAAGCCTAAACTTTTCATCTGCCACAGAACCATTTATGTTTCAGGTAAAAATACAGATTTAAAACAACCTTGCAAACAATTTCCTTCGCTAAGTGCATGATGGGTATGTAATTCTGATGATAAGTGGTTTAGAATTAAATTCTAAAGGATCTTTTTCATCTAAGCCATTTCAACATTTCAGACAATTCTACTAAAAATAATTTTTGCAGATCAGAATAAAATATAGCCACTCACATGGAGATACATATATTCATGATTGCTGTGTATTTTTTCATCACATAATTATAAGAATCAATTTTTTGCTGAAAACCTTTCATTTTCTTTTTAGATTTTTTTTGTTTTACTTTGCTTTTTTCCCTCAATCTTTAGTATATAGTGTTAATTTTTTTTTTTTCTAATTAAGAATAGATTTCATCTTAGAGATAATTTCATTTTTCCTCAGTTTAGGAGTTACTACAGCATCAGAAATTCAATTTTTTAGGACCTCTGGCATGACAACTTTGTAGAAACTTTTCTTTTCCAATGTAACTGGTAAAAATCCATATAAATAGAAAAAAATGCTGCAATTTTTTCAAGGATTACTTTTGTGCTTTTAGAGAGAAAACATTACTTGTCTAAGGAAAACATCTGCTACCATCTTGTAAGGTGTTTTCTTCTGTCATTGTTTATGTGTCATTAGAAAGACCGTGGAACTGTAGAATTTTGAAGAAACATTTCCATCACATATCAGTGTTTTATTTGTCTATTGCATCCTCCTTTTTGCCACCAAAATATTAAAATTCTGGATTACATCAGTGGWAAGACACCTGGGAAATCATAATAAAATGAATCTAAGTTGCCTCTGTGTGCTCTGCAGTTGTACAATTGATATTTATCAATTTATGTACATCAAACAATTGATATTTAGGGGAATTATAATGCTCATAATGAAACAGTAATTTGTGAGTTTGAAAAGTTTTTAAAAACTTCTTTGGTAGCCAGAGGTGGGTTGTAGGACAGGAGTTAGTTTCCCAGGAATTGAGTTCCTTAATGCGAAAATTAAAGGTGAAACTTTTATTGCTAACAAAAAGAGGGAATTGTTGGCTAGGTGCTGTAGGAGGTTTTTGAACAATGCATTTTAAATATTGTTGCTTTAGATACAAAAAGATTAAATAAATATTAATTTTTTAGAGGACAATAGAGAGTTATGTGGACAAACGTGTTGGAAGTACTTATGGACCTCCTGGGGGCAGAAAGATGACAGTTTTTATTGATGATATCAATATGCCATTTATCAATGAATGGGGAGATCAGGTAAACTTTTTTTATATTTATTGCTTATTCTCAAATTGTGCTTTTAATATACATACACACATTGTAAGCAGTGGACTTCTTAAATATTTTAATTAACTGTTACTTATTGGAAATGTTTTCTAATTATGGTACACTGACACAAAACAAAAAAAAAGGCAAATTAGATTTACTGATAAGGCATGTAATATAATGATGCCATATTTTACATAATCTCCACTTCCCWATCTTCGTAAGACTAAATAAAAATCAGCACTGTACTGAAGTAGCATATTATTAATTTCAAGATTGACGTTAATCTGAGAGCATCAAATAAATAAATTTTTGTCATGTTRAAGTGTGATACCTTGGAGAAAGAAATAAAGGATATGAATAATTCAAGGCCTCCACTAGGTCATGCATTATGGCTCCAAGACATGGTTGAAATATTTTTAAAGAGCTAATGATTTGTAAGTGTTGCCATGCTGCATATCCTGTTGGATTTAGTGGGGTATGTGAGCATAAGGCTTGGTGAATACAGTGGGAGCAGTTGTTATGGGGCAACTCTGGAGCTTTAAAGTGGAATGTAGAGTGAATAACCTTTCCAAAATAAACAGCTTTCTTTTTCAAAAAAGAATTAGTTGTTTTGCATCAAAGGAGGACCAACCTGAAAAGCATAATTTGAACATCCATAGCTGAATGTCCAGCAACAAAATAAGGAACAAAACAAATTTTGCTCCAGTTARTTGCTTTAATTTTGTTTAGTTCAAAAAAATACAAACACATTTTCTTGATATTATGTGGCAGTAGAGCTCTGAAACAATTTTCATTCCATTTAAAATCACATAAACCAAGACCTTCCATATGACTAAGGAAGGTAGTTTAATCTGTTTTTAGATAAAAATGACAATATGTCTCTATGGATTAGCAGAATTACAAGAAGAAATTTAATTGCCATGGTGTATTTTCTTCTTTTCTTGCATAAATTTCTAATCTGTACAAATTACATACATTTACAGATAACAAATGAAATTGTCCGTCAAATGATGGAAATGAGAGGAATGTACAGCTTGGATAAGCCTGGAGACTTCATTACAATTGTAGATGTACAAATAATAGCAGCGATGATACATCCTGGAGGAGGCCGTAATGATATTCCCCAGCGATTGAAAAGACAGTTTTGTGTATTCAATTGTACATTGCCATCCAACGCATCCATCGACAAAATTTTTGGTACTTTTTTCTCTCGTTTTAGTAGAATTTATTTTCTTTCATAAAGGACTTAAAATTTATAAAAGTATGCTCTCCTTCTCACTTTTATCATGCAAATTCAGAGTTCTTCTAGTAAAACAGCAAAAATAGCATTATGGGAGAGAAATTCAAATTTTTGTCTGTCTAATTTTGGGCAAACAAATACGAAGAAAGTAATGACATTTCTTGGAGAACTAYGAGCCCTGCTATTTCTGTGTAGGTTGACATTCCATCTCTGCACAGTTTGAAAGGCACTCTGWTGCTAAATTTCTCAATTCTGGTAACTCTGCCAGTGCAGGATATGGTGGAAAGCCAGCACTTGCTGTCTGTTGTTTATATAGCCATTCAGAAAAGCCATAGGCAACAGAGAAAAATAATTTCTTTTGTAATTTAAAATTATATTTTACCAATTAATGTTTTCAATAAGCACCTATTTCTCTTGCTCCCAACCTACCTCCTTATATCCTACACACTGAGATTGTTTATTGCATCATATATTTTCAGGTGTTATAGCCTCTGGATACTTTCATGAATGTAGAGAATTCAGCCCTGAAGTATGTGAACTGGTGGGAAAATTGGTCCCAACAGGAAGAATATTGTGGCAGCGGACAAAGGTATAAATTCAGGGAAAGTTTTATCAGAATCAGTCTGAACAGAGTCATTATTACTGTAATTTAGGCAATTATTGCCTATGATCATACCTATAAGAAAAACCCAAGCAAACAAACAAACAAACCACCTCAGAAACAAACAAACCACTCCTAAAAAAAAAAAAAAAAAGGAAAGAGCTAAAAGCCCAGAGAAAGATGGCCTATAATGTTTTGGAGATGCAATCTGGAAAATACCAAATTTTAGTACACAAGGCAGATGAATGGAGATAGCAGTCCATTCATTCCTGTAAGTTAATTCATGTTATCTACAYAAAGCTTTAATCTCCTGCTTACAAACAAATTAGATACTTTTGGTGATTTCTTATAAAGAGTTTTCCCACRGTATCATGTGTGAAAATTAGAATTTTTGTTATTTTTATGTTTTATATGTGTCATTACTTATAAATTTGTAATTTTTATTATTAATGATTCTTTCTAAATGTTACTGATTTTGAGTATTAAAAATACTTTTCTTTAGGCAAAGATGTTACCCACACCATCTAAATTCCACTATATCTTCAACCTACGAGACCTTTCTAGAATTTGGCAAGGAATGTTAAATATAAAGGCAGAAGAATGCGAATCCAGCACTCGCCTTCTAAGACTTTTTAAACATGAATGTACCAGAGTAATTGCTGACAGGTATAATAATTTTAGTATTTTATATTTAATAGTTTTAGCCATTTACTTAATTTATGCTCATACGTCTGTGAAACTTTTAAATATGATAAACCTTATTAGGCCAATACAAAAAGTTTTACCTTATTTTACATGCAGTCTGCATTGGGGAATTGTTCCAACAAATATCATGCTATGCACTGATAGATTAACCCAGTAATTYGATGTAAAACAGCAAAACATGCACATATTATATGGGTGTCCTAAATTCATACACATAGAATAATTTAAAATTGCTTTGCTGTCCTCATAGAAAAAAAAAAGAGGATTGTATGCTTATGACTAAAAATTGGCCAATATCCTATAAGTGTCATTCAAAATACTCATAAACCAGATATAGATATAGCCTTTATGTGTAAGAGATGAGTATTATTTTACTGTTTATTGTGTTTCAATTTCTTATGAAATTCTAACTGCAGCTCTATAGCTGCTGCTAAAAGCCTGACAAATACCCATTACTACTGTGAATAGTTAGAATTAATAACATTTTTTCTTACTCTGATGCCTTGAGGAATGACCATCATAGTTTTTATAATGCTTTATACTTAAAGCGTTAAATTTAAATATTGACTCTTAAAAACAGTTATGTGCATTTTCTTACGCTTCATTTACTTCATAAAGCTCTCACAAACTGAAAGGAATGACAAATATTTTGCCATGGACACAAGAGGGCATTTTAGAGTGCTTTTGTTTTTAGTTACACTTAAAAGGATTTGAATTAAAAAGTGATTAAGTGTTACCTGCATTACCAGAATGTTTTCAGTATTCAACACAGCTGAAAAACCTTAAAATGGAATTTATCTATTTTAAGAGGCTGACTACATAAATGCAGGAAATGATTTGGCATGGTAGCAGGCAAGATTAATAACATCATATTCAAGCAGAGTCAGCCTGGATTGTATTATTCAATTAAATTGTCAACATAAAGGAACGAGATATAGAAGAAATCCAAGGATTTCCATCTCTGTCTTTGAAACACAAGAGGGACAAAGGGAAATCCACCGAAGTATATATTGATAAGTGGTCTTTAGCATATACTCATTTGAAACAGGAAAAAAACCCAAGATATATAAAACTTAGAGATGAGATACACACTGCCAAAACTGGTGGATAAAACAACTGCCTTCCATTCATACCAATGTTGGAAACAATTCCAAACAAAACATAGACCATCGTCCAAGTTTTGTTAACCATCACTGCCTGAATCTTCTAGTATGCCTGATTTTCTTTCACAAGAGCACTGAGTCAGGTGACAGAGCCCATCTCTTTCTTTCCCAGAAGGTGCATTAAYAAATTTGATTTAAGAGCCAAAGAAGATTGCTGTTATGACTGTCTTCAATATCCCAGATGAACCACAATCTTGCTTACTTTGAATTAAGTGTTGAGGTGGTTCTTATCTTTAATGCTTGCCAGTTACTCCTAAGTAACATTCTTCATTGCTTCACAGATAATCACAGCCACAGATAATGAGAGTAGTCAAATGTCTGATCTGTATTAAAATCAGATTGAATCTGCTAAGGGAAGAAGACAAACTCGTTTACACAATGAAATGTAGTCACTAGYATCTGTTTACAGAATTTTATTAGTTCTCTCAACCCCAATGTATATTCCTCTCTGCTAATTGCAGGTTTTTGTGTAAGGGGTGTTGAGAACGGAGTCAGGTTGTAATAGCTTATGCTACCTTCCTTTTATTATTCCTTGTCCAATTGCAGTTTCATTGRCAGTGTTACAATATCATAAATTATACCATTCTACTGCAGGTTGAAGGATGATAAGGCTCACTCAGCAATGGTYATTTGGGAAAACATTCACTCTTTTTCATCCTATTTCATCTGAAAAATTAAATGGTCTGTCATTGTCTCATTCTAAGTGAAAGCTGGAAAATCAAATAATTTTTGTTTTATATTTTATGTCATTGACTATTACAYTTTATAGTATGGAAGGATTTTATTTCTGTGCATGTTGTCTGATCCATGTTCTGTGACTACTGTGTAGTATGTATTGTCTAATAAGTATTTTTCTTTAAAATGCTAAAAGGTTTTTTTTTTCGTTTTAATATTTTTCTTAGTATTGAATTATCTGTTTTTTCCCTATATAACTAGAAATGTTTTTTGAAAGTTGTACTAATTTATGGTTTTTAGGTTTAATACACCYGAAGATTCAGCCTGGTTTGAAGTAACTATTGATAAAACAATTGAGGAATATGTGGATGCGGATTTAAGTGAAGTTCTCCAAGCTGAACCGTATTTTGTAGATTTTTTACGGGAGGAGCCTGARCCAACTGGTGAAGAAGCAGAAGACATGGACCTTGAAGCACCAAAAGTTTATGAGGAGGTATTTCATTTTACACATAAAATACAAGGCATTGAAGTTTTCCTTTAATTATTAACTATGTTATATTGCAGAACTCATATAATACAGAAGTTTTTGTTGAATAGCTACCACAWTTTTTTGTGAAAGTATATCGAGATTTTCCTGCCTAGCATGCAATAAATCATTTTAGTGATGTTAGATTTAATAATGACATATAAATGTGGTATATYTGTCCCTGTTCTCCTTGCTTCTCTTTTCCCAACCATTAGCAAAAAAAATTTCGGCTTGAACACAACTACAATAATTACAGTGAATTAGCAAAATAATATCATTAAACAGGCCAACACATAAAACTGAAGTTTGTGTAAAAATATCAGCACAGTTTTAAAATTCTGAAGAGCCATACTAGTGTTGTTACAGATTGTACTTTTTTTTCAGGTTCCGAGCTATGAAATTCTTTGTAAGAAATTGCGGGGCTTTCAGACRCAATACAATGAAAACATTAGAGGCTCATTTCTTGATTTGGTGTTCTTCAAGGATGCAATGACACATCTTATTAAGGTTTGGTATTGCTATTTTTCATTAGTTTAACTTTGCAACTGTTCTCTATTTGGGCAAGATATTCTCAAGGGGCACATTGTGAAAAATTATTCTTACCCCCAAACTGCTCTGCCACCTTTGCCTGGTAATTTTCAAGAGCTAGGAAAGATCTGCAGTCATTTTACCTGTTTCCATGTTCTATAATAAATTCCTTATTTAAATATCTGTTTAAACTTCTATTTATTCAGACTGATCAAGATTTTTCTCGATASGAAAGGTGAGGTCATAAATAAAGACATTTAGATTTTGTATATAAAATTATTTTAAATAATTTAAAATTCAGAGAACACTTCAAAGGTATCTGTMGAATCTGACTGTGTGAGAGACACAAAAATAAATATAAATTAGGCCTGCAAGGGAATCAGCGTATAGGGGTAGATTTTAGTGTAGTGTCTAGGTGTCAATTTACAATCATTTGCTCTCCTATTTAGAAAGGAATTTATAAGCAAAGAATTCATCCAAAGTCAGAATCTGATTCATGGGGGTGAAATAAAGGCAAAGTATGAGATTTGTGTCKCAGGTTTAAGAAGTATTATCTCAGKAATTGCTTTGACTGGCTGATCTGTTTACTGACATAGAAGTTKCAGTGAAACAAAATCAGAAGATAATGTTTTGTTCTTCTCTAGTTGACCTCGAAGTAAATGATTGCTTGCTTTGCATTTAAACAGAAGTAAATAAWTTTCTTTTTAAATATAGTTCACAGGATGATAGGTGAATTTCAGAAAACCTTGAAAGTTTCAGACTCTCAATTTTTATTGGCAAGTTTTAGCCAGAATAATATGYAATTAATATATGGCTCTTTTCTACTACCTAAAGTGACAATAAATTTAGTCACCCTCATAATTTCATATTTAGACTTCTTTAATATAGTTATCTGGATAGGATCAGAGGGAAGTGTGAAGTAAGCTACAATTTTATAGAAGCTAAAAATTTATATATTTCAAAGACTTGATGYAGATGCCAAACTTTGTGCATAATTTACATGTGGACCAAAACAAAATGTAAAATCTTAAAATGTAAAAAAATACTTAAAAGTAATAGTGCACTAACATAGCATTAACCCRAAGAAGATGTGTCAAAAAGCAATACATTAGCAAATTAGTAATTCAGCTTTTGTATTGGGGAGACTTGATAAGAAAACTATCACAAAAGGAAATGGTGAAGGTAGATAGAAGATGGCATTAAATGGTAGTTTAACCGTGATCAAGTCTTTCAGACTCCTAAAATTAGGAATATAGTATGTTTGTTCTTCTAGATAAAGTTTTAATTTATATTTTAAAACACATTCAGGATGATGCCTTCAGCATAAAGTGTAGCTCAAAATGTCTCCTTTCAAGTATTTAAATCCTATGTGTAACTGATTATAACCATCCTATATTCTTCTATGCAGCTTCATTAGCTGCACAAAATTCCTAAAGAATTTACAAGTTTTCTTTTGAGAGGAAAAATTTTCWGCAAGGATCCTTTTAATAACTTTTACATTGTATTATAGTGAATTAAGTGCAAATCATAATAGATTTGTAATTTTGCTAACTAATATTTAAATTTATTAGTGATGTTTTTCTTTRTTGTTTCATCTATAGATTTCCCGGATTATTCGGACAGCATATGGAAATGCTTTACTTGTTGGAGTTGGTGGTTCTGGAAAACAAAGTCTTGCAAAGTTAGCCTCCTACATTGCTGGCTATAAAATATTTCAGATCACTTTAACCAGGTGAGAAATGCAAGAAATATRTGAATCATGTTTATGATATTGCTTTGTTTCTGTATGGTCACAGGTTTTTCTCCTTTTTTCYTTTTTCTTTATTTTCATTTTGTCACCACTGGAAAAAAAATTTTAAAAATACATTCTTATCTGCTTTATATATGACATTGGATTTATTTTGACATGAAAAAAGTGGACCATGTGTTAGATATTCCTGTGCCAAAATATGTGTTTACAAAGGGTATTTGCAGTGTCATTTACAAAACACTATCATCCAAAAATGGCAATATTCTGAGTTGTAATTAACAGGTTTTAATTAACGGGTGATGCTCTTAATTTCTTCTAGATCCTATAATGTAACCAATCTGTCAGATGATTTAAAAGAATTATATAGAATAGCAGGACAGGAAGGACAAGGTATCACCTTTATTTTCACTGACAATGAAATAAAAGACGAGTCCTTTTTGGAATATGTAAACAATCTGCTGTCTTCAGGAGAGGTAAGGGTTTCAGCCTGGCAAGCAATGTTCTTTATTAGCAGGATACTGTAGAATTTGTTTTCACTATTTTATTAATTTTGGTAGTATATTGTTGAATCAATAATGATTAAAATATTTCAACTTTTTTAATAAGGAGTGCTTTGGATATGTAGCTTCTTTATTTCAATGTAAGACAGGAGAGTATGAAAGGATCTGTGATTAGTATTTCAGTAACCTTTTATTAAATGATTATTAGGTTGCCAGTCATGACCTATACTCTTCCAGAGTCAGACTTCTTAGTTTTCAATGGGGTTTCATAAGTCTAAGCAAGGGAAGAATTTGGTTTTTATTCTAAACTGTGTATATGCAGAAAGAGAGATATAGRTGTTAACAGAAAAATATTTATAAATTCTATAATAATTACATCCATGCAATTTATTATCAATTTTTGTTTTATAAAAAGATTTCTAATTTATTTGCTCGGGATGAATTGGATGAAATCACCCAAGCATTAGTATCTGTGATGAAAAAAGAGCTGCCTCGGCATCCTCCTACCTTTGATAACCTCTATGAGTACTTCTTGGGACGGGCAAAGAAGAACTTGCATGTTGTCCTCTGCTTTTCTCCAGTAAGTTTTTTATTATCAGTTTTCCTTTCTTCCATTAGCAAACTTTCCTATATACTGTGAGAGAATTATTCAAGTTTTATATKTTTAAGGAAGCTCAAGATACATAAAAGGATTACTGAAGTCTAGTTGTAGTTGCTGAGATAATAAAAGTAATAGTGCAACTGTGAGAACTGAACAGCAAAATACTTYAAATAATTTCTCACAAGTGTTTTGTTTCTTTTTCCTCTCATATATTTTTTCTTATACACATTAGTGAATGTATTTTTGTGAACTTMTTGCTTGTCACTGGAAATAGTATTTTATTAGTAATTAAAATTAATTATTTGATGTTTCAAAATATTAAACCAAATATATTTGTCAAGAACTTCTTTCTTTGCATTTCATAAAATATTGAATGTTAGAAATTTATCAAAACTCTGTTTGAAGAGAAAAAAAATTCAAGGTGCTCTAAGCAGAAAATTATCAAAAAGAAAATAAACTATTTAGTTGTTTATGCAAATTGAACACTTTAATTGACTTTTGATTAAGAATCATATTGTTAACTAACAGTGATTCTCTCTTTAGGTTGGAGAGAAGTTCCGTGCACGTTCTCTGAAATTTCCTGGTCTGATATCAGGGTGCACTATGGATTGGTTCAGTCGATGGCCCAAGGAAGCTCTTGTAGCTGTGTCCAACTATTTTCTTTCAGGATTTAATATTGTCTGCTCTCCATCAGTTAAAGCAGAAATAGTAGAAACTATGGGTCTCTTTCATGATATAGTTTCAGAAACCTGTGAGAATTATTTCCAAAGGTAATATTCTCTGCAAATGCAATAATTAATCTTGAAAATATTGCTAATGACAGTGTTTTTTGAACTCATGTTATATGTATCAACAGCTGTATTTTAAGGCTAATAAAAAATAAATCTGCTATATCATCATATCCTAAGGCCATGAAAAATAATTGATACTATGTTGCAAATCCTTTATCTTCATTCCCACTATTCAACAATCTTTAATATTGTCTATATGGATAAAAACAATGTAATTGGAAGTAAGGGTCTCCATCATGAAGGAATCTGATTTTGAACGAATAAAGAATTGCTTTATATAATTTTGTCACCTTTTTTGGAAGTAATCAAATAGCTGGATGTATCGAAAATGTGTGTGAAGTTAATGTTGCCAATATGCTTTGTTTTAGGTATCGAAGAAGAACTTACGTAACACCGAAATCTTATCTCTCTTTCATCAGTGGCTACAAAGAAGTTTATTCTGAAAAGTTAGTCAGTATAAATGAACAAGCTGAACGTATGCAAACTGGTAAGCAAATACATTCCCTGTATGGACTCAAATTATCTATGTTTTTAATATTAGGCTTCTTTTTCAGTGATCACTTATAATCAGTTCTACAGGATCACAGTCCAAAAGTGGTGGCATATGAAGACCTTTACCAGACACTCTCCCACCCACAATCTCACAATGATTTTCCTGTAAAAATGCCTAAAAGAAGCTACCAGCTTAACTATCCATCTCAGCATTGTACTAAATGTTAATATTTGCAAATCAGAATGTGTAATAGAAATTAAAACCTGAAAATGGACAGAGATAGCATCTGCTTTACTGGTGTAGAGAGAGGTAATTCTGAACATAGTTATTAACTTACTGCTGGACTTGTCTACGGAAATTCTCACCACGTAATCTACATGCTTCACAAGTGATTTGTTTTGGTTTTCTGCAGTAGAATAAGTAGCTGTTACTTGGAGTAGTTTTTTAACTATGGCCTTGGAATACAGAAAAATATGAGTGACATGTCCTTCAGACAGATTTTGGATATCTGCTTGAAGTTACCTAATTTTTGGCATTAGTACTTAATGGTTTCAGAATGCTAGTTTTCTGGTATTTTCTGGTTTTTCAGTTTGCATTTAGACATATGTTTGTAAATATATAAAATCAGTTGAACACTTTAGGAAACCTGGTCTTTATTGGGAAAGATATTGCATACCAATTTAATAGAATCAATAATTGTGCATAAGATTTTTCATACAAAGGTAAAAAATGGGGCACTTAGGCAATGATTAATATTAGAACTGATACCCTTCACATGAAGAAAAGACTAGAATAAGAACATATAACTATTTTATTCATAAACTCTTTGCTGAATTAGAGTGAACTGTAGAGGAGTAAGTGATCCTCAATATTTTCAAGTTGTGTAAGTTTTGCTTTCTGGATCTGTTGCCAGATCCATAGAACAGATGAGAAATTATCATCTGTCCACTTTGAGATGGGAATAAAATCTGAGAATCTCGAAGATTCGAGAGAGTGGGGTTGGTTTGTGGCTTTTTGGTATTCTTTCTACAATTTTTCTATTTCCAAAAATAATTCAGAAGTAGCAACATAAGTAGCTTCAGCACTGTCAATAAAATTTAATATGTAGATTTTCATAACCTCTGACATGTTTTTACATGGTATGCTCTGCAAAACAAAATGATCATGTACAGGTGAACRTGTGTGGATATGTTCTACTGCAGCATCTTTATATCATTGATGCTTAGAAAATCATGTCTTTCAGCTTATGGGCAATATGAATGCCAGTTAGAAAATATTCTAATTAGTTTCACTTGCACAGATAAAATATACTTGAAAGAAGAAAAATACTGGTCATGCCTGACTCCAAATGTGCTCCACTGTTTACTGCATCCGAAGGAACTTTCTCAAGAAGTTTGTTGTGAATTGTTTAGCTACTATCTCACATATTCATGCTTTAATCCTTAGTCTTTCTTCACATAACTTAAAAAAAAGATTTAGAAGATTAAAAAAATTGCCTTGACATTGATTTCAATTTTGTAGATTATTCTGATATGGGATTKCAATTTAGCATTATTAAACTCAGCTGAGATAATGTCACTCTTTTCATATCCTTGTTTAAATCATTTTTTTGTATGTAATGATGTCTGATCAAATTCAACATTCTTGTAAAGTGGGAATATTGTAAGAAATAYCTTAATACTGATTTCTAGGAAAGTGTGCTTGTCAGCACTCTGCTATCTATATGAGCCAAATATTTTGAAAGATAGWAGTGATCTCTCTTCGGCTTTGTCACTCCCAGTGAAAAATACTGTGAGATGGATGAAGAAGAAGCTGAAATCTAATTGCAATTATTTCTGAGTACTTAACATCTTATATCCTCTCTTCAAATTGATTAGGGAGTCCTTGGCTGAGCAGTACATATGCAGATCACATCTTTTCATTTAGAACTGTGGTTCCACAAGAAGACCTCAGTTGAGCTTTGACAAAATGGACATGTCATACATTTGAACAATATGTTATAAGAGCTTCTAATTAAGCAATATGTTATAAGAGCTAATTAAAAGTGACAGAAATTATATCCTTGAAGAGCTAAGGCTACAGTGTTTTATATCTTAATAAAAGACTTYTATAATTTTTGTTTATTTGCTACTTTTCTGCAGTTATTCAGACAAGTTACAAATTACATTGACAAGACAGGGAGATTACTTCAGTTCTCTCTTTAATCAAAATACATATACTTGACTAGCCCCTTTTTAAAAATTTTGTTTTCTTTTGAAGAAATAAGCTTATTTATAATAATTTTCTGCCTCGTGGAGTTGTTTATATCCATGAAAAGTAAACAGTAGGCACAATCATGATAGTATGGTTGCTTACACCCACTTTCTCTCCTATACATAAAATTGAATGAAAACACAAGGTACAAAAGCATGGGAGATCTGGACCTAGACTGTTTTATCTAACCAGGGAAAAAAAAGGTTTCAATATTTCTGAATTTTATCTTTTATTTAATAGGCCTGTCCAAGCTGCTGGAAGCCAGTGAATCTGTTGTTCAACTCACTAAGGACTTGGCTATCAAAGAGAAGGAACTGGCTGTGACATCTGTTAAGGCAGACAAAGTGAGTGCTAAATAGCACTAGAAAATACAGTGGGTGAAATACTATTGCAGAATTTTCTCAGTATTTGCAAAAATTTGCCTCATTGTCTAAAATGAGGTTTTACTCTGTCACATTTGATTTAGCATTTGCTTCTGAAAGTGAGGCACTTTTAGACTTCAGCAGAGGTTGAATATTTTCCTTGTTCTTCTCCCATTTCTTACTCACACAGATAGGAATCAGATTTCATTTTTTTCCATAGCTTTTTTGTTGTTGTTGTTGTTGTTTGTGCTTAATTCAAATTATTAAATTTTGGCTTATACGTGCACTTACTAGCAGATAAGAAGTTAGCATTACAATGGGACTTTTCTATTTCAAAATTCCTGAGAAAAAGTCACAATCCAGTTTCAGATTTTGTCTTTTAGATTAACAAGGTACCTGTGTGTTCATGAGACCGGTGGTCTGGTAGAAATCTGGTTTCCAAAATGACTCTCTGGAAAGGTATGCTAGGGAATGGATTAATATAGGCATCCTGTTTTCTAAAAGATACCATAATGCTCTGATTGTGCATATTTAATATGCACTGGAGAGCGAATATTTGGCAAGWGATGAATAAGGGACTGCCTGCAACCTTTGAGGACTTGAATTTCATATATGACTAAAAGGGTTGAAATTAAATTTCTCACCTTTAATTTTTATTTGGTAGTTATATGATGCCCTATATAGTTAGCCATAGTTARTTAGGGTTAGCCATAGTTAGTTAGGGTTAGCTTTATATTTTAATAACTGTTACATACCTGGTTTATTTTGTGTCTCATAATAACTTGTTCCACCATTTTGCTTCATAGATTTTATGTGTTTATTAACAATTCCAGGTACTAGAAGAAGTCAAAGAAAGTGCTGAAGCCGCAACTAAAATAAAACTTGAAGTCCAGGAGGTGAAAGATAAAGCGCAAAGAATCGTAGATGCAATTGATATAGAAAAACAGGAAGCAGAGAATAAACTGGAAGCAGCTAAACCAGCACTAGAAGAAGCAGAAGAAGCTCTGAAAGTGAATAAAATTCTTATATTTTTGTTAGTATAATACTGTGGAAGGCCAGAGCCATCAACATTCAGCTGTCTCTTGGTTTTGACTTACCAACTCTTCACTTTTCGTGGTCATGTCTCTCATGAATACTCAAGGAACTGATGTGCTACCTTAAACACATATAGACTATTTTATAGTATTTGTTTGCTTCTATCCCAATACTTGATCATTATGAAGGTGTAGATCTTTCCAATAGCTACAGATGCCTTTAGAATATCTGTTATTCTGAATTCAAGAGAATCCTTCTTGTGCTAACAGAATGTTTTTAATTCAACCTTAAGTAGTTACACCTGCCTTCAAGGAAAAAAAATTCTGTCTCTTCCTTCACCAAAAAACCCAATGCTTTTAATTTTAAGAGAAACAGGAAACAAAGGGGATTCAGGGTAATCAGAATTGGTGTTCAGAAATTTGGAGGCATTATGGTGCTACATAGTTTCATTATTCTGCTCTGTACAATTAAACCGTAAAAAAACCTCTGAAATCAGAAATCAGTGATGTAAGGCCTTCCCTTCCTWTTACCAGAATTTACATGACAGAAGTCCTCAAGTGGAAAAAGCAAAAAAAAAAGTGCATTGCTTGCTCTTTTACTGACATTTAGATAATGAGATAATTGAAACTTCCAAAAGTGGTCACAAAATTCACTTACAAAATATGTGGACTTAGAAAATGGTTTATGTAATGTATCTGTAACTACTCCTTCTAGGCAGGTTGTGCTATGTGTGTATTTTTRGACACAAATGTTAGTTTTGGGGTTTTTAATGCTTTAGAATTTTGTGAGAACTAAGGAAAGTGTCAGTGAGAGTAATGCTATGAGAAAATAAAGTTTAAAATGGTATCTCATGCCTATAATAACTGAAAACTGAACAAAACCAACAAAATTGATGTCACAATAAATGATACTTAACTGCTAAAAATCTGAAATACTGTTTTATCAAGCAAACTGCTCTTAACCAAGTCCTGTACATTTTTATGGTAAAGTTTATTTCAACACTTAGACTGATAAGTTAATGCTGCTGTATGCAAATTTGATTTTTGAATGATGTTTTTAGTGGTGGGAAGGTATTCTTGTCTAATATTAATTGAAATCACTGAAGTTTCATAAAAGTAGGAAATCTATTAATTAGGCCRTGTTCCTCACTTTTTGGTGTGGACTTAATATGAATGTACCTCAGAGAAAAGTATTACAAACATTAAAATCAAGATATTGAATGGGAAAATCAAATAATTGTATTGATACAGGATTTTATTATATCTTTCTTCAAACAGACTATCAAACCAGAGGATATTGCTACAGTTAGAAAACTTGCAAAACCTCCTCACCTGATTATGAGGATCATGGACTGTTGTCTGCTACTATTTCAAAAGAAACTGGATCAAGTTACCATGGATCCAGAAAAGCCTTGCTGCAAGCCATCATGGGGAGAATCATTAAAAGTAAGGAGAGTTTTCAAACAGTGTTTCTTAAACATCRTAAATAGCAACTCGCTTATCAGAGAACATGAGATGCTCTTTACCCAAAACATGACAATTTTAGTAAAAGGCAAACACACTGTTTTAAGATAAACTATATGTGTATACTATTCTAACTGCCAGAAATAGGCAAATTGCTCAGAGGCTTTTGCAGCTGAAGCTTTAGAGTTTCCTTGCCCTGTCCCTGGCACATGGCCTGATAGCAAATAAAGAAATCGCACCATGTAAACCATRTATGAGATAAAGACATTCTGGAAAAGCCCTCTTCTCTTTGGAGCCTTGTAGGTTTGCATTTAGACAGCCTTTTCGGAGCCTCTCAGTCTCCTTGTTTGTTTGAAAGATTAATTGAATGACTATGAGTATATTTTTCCATTGCATGTTTCAATATTCCTGGCCCCAAATTCCTTCATCAGCCAGCTATCTCTTCCTTCTGGACTTTGATCTGCTCTCAAAATACACCTTGATTTTCATGCCTTCTCCTGCCATTCTTTAAATTCTCTTCTCTACCTCTAGTAGTGTATTAATATGCCAATAATACTGCCTCCATATTTTTTCATGCAAATGAYGGAAAAGGACATATTTTGGACACAAAGAGAGCTCTTGCTTTTTTATTTAAGCTTCTGCAGTAAAAAAAAAAATCATCCAAAGCTTTTATTTTCCACTGACACAATAAAATGAGGTAAGCAGTTATTTCATTAATTGCCTTTAGCATGCTGAACATCTCTTAGAAAAAGTTAAACCCAATGATTTCCCTCCTCAGAATTTAGATCACATTTCACGAATGCATAAGTATGGGTTTTTTTTGCATTTAGTTAAGTTAGAATGTGTCTCTGAGTCTTTCTTCTGGTTCATTTATTTTTAATTAAATGATGCTTCTTAAATGCTGTTAAAATGGCAACACAGGAATACAGAAGATGGACAGTACATCAGTAACTTTCAAATCTAGTTACAGGAGTGTAAGTGCTTAAAACTTTGAAGTAATTGAGGGTGTGTGGGAGAAGTTGTGATGAATAGCACACTTATAATATTAACTATATTAATTACGTCTATTCACAGAAGAATTTTAGGAAAGCTTTTTAACAGTCACTCACCTATGAGCAAGACTTTGAGGGTAAAATGTGTAAATAACTCGTGCATTGTGTTTTGTAGCTCATGAGTGGCCCGTTCTTGAACAACCTACGGAACTTTGCCAGGGATACAATCAATGACGAGACAGTAGAATTAGTCCAGCCTTACTTTGAAATGGAAGACTATACACTGCAACATGGTAAAAAGGTGTGTGGCAACGTGGCAGGACTCCTCTCTTGGACAAAAGCCATGGTGGTATTTTATGGTGTTAACAGAGACGTCTTGCCTCTTAAGGTAATACATCATCTCTTGCTTTGTGTTCGGTTACCATGTAATGGAATTTAGTTTAATAGGATACTACRAGTATATATAACTTTATTCAGACATAATTCCCTTTAGTGGCTRAAGGGTAAGGACATAAAAAAAAAGAACAAAAGATTAGCCTAGATTAAATGTATGTGATCTGGTTTACTGTGTATAGGGAAAGGTGTTTTCAGTCTTTGTTTTTATTACGTTATAATTACTTTATAATTGTTTTCAAAATGTTATGCCAGTATCTTCATGCCTTCCTTAAAGAGTCCTGCWAACAGAGGTTTGCAGCAATTTTAGGTTCTTTGCTTTCCCCTGGTAGCTTAGTGTCAGTGGAGGACTGACACTTTGCCTAAATATTGGCTTTCTAAAGAGCTCAGGCACTCACTTCAATAGAAGAGCTCTGGTTCAATAGTAGAAAGCAAAATAAGGAAAACATTTTTAAAAGTAAATTTTTACTTTAGCATGGATATGATTTTTCATGTTTATGGAACTCAAAGGCAATGACTTTTGGTTCTAAACAATGTATTTAATTCTTAAATGTAGCACACTAAAAACAATACTATAAGGGATAAGCACATGGGGATCTCAAATTTGTTTCACATCTTTGTCACTGGTAGAAGTGTTACTTACAGAAGCAACAGTAATACAGATGAATTATTTTAAAAAAAATTTATTAATTTCCTGTGTTAACCATAAATATGATTTTAGGAACAACAGGAAGATTCACTGTTTTACAACCATTTCCTAGGGGTAAAAGCAATATTATTAGATGATAAAGAACCAATCTCCTGTTGTGATTGCTGGTTGCTACAAAATGTACTAATGAAAAAGGAAAGTACATACAGTCAAAACATACAGTCAAGCAAGAAGATTGAGAGATTGTTCCCTAGTCTAACCAATATGTACAGATCAAAAATCTTACTTCCTTAACTAGTTCCTTGAAATGTTTTGGTTTTTTTGGTTTTGTTTTTTTTTAAAGGAATAAAGTTGACAATATATAGTAGAACTTGAGGGATTGTATCGCTACTGAACAAAAAAAACCTTCAGTATATACATGATGTATTTGTCAGCTTAACTGTTTTTGATATTTATATAGAAGTTACTTCGATATGTTATTGTCTCATGATTACCAATTCAGCAGGATTAAATATTTCATTAAATTATATTAAAATCTTATATGATTGCACTTTAAATATCTTTTCTCTTTGCAGGCTAATCTGGCAAAACAGGAAGCTCGCCTGAGAGTAGCTAATGCTGAAAAGGAAAAGGCTCAGGCAGAATTAGATGAAAAGCAAGCTGAACTGGATAAAGTGCAGGCAAAGTTTGATGCAGCAATGAAGGAGAAAATGGTGAGATAAAAGTATTTTAGTCCTATTAAAAATGCTTGTACAATACTGTCATGCAATTTGGATTTGCTGCAAACACACATTTACCTGCTACCTTGAATAACATGGATGAGATTCAGGTATAAAAGTAAGATATTTAAGTCTATATTCTCTCCTATTCCCTTCTTTCTGTGAATAGGAACATGTTAGACAATAGATGCCTTTAGTAGTCCTCAAGAACAAATTTTAAACAAATAAAATAAYTATAATAAATATAAGAGCATGAAAAAGATATAACTCCACATATTCTATGAAGATATTATATAGGACATTTTTTTCAATTTTAGGACTTGGAGGATGATGCAGAAACATGCAAAAGAAAGATGCAAGCAGCCTCTGCGCTTATAGATGGACTGAGTGGAGAGAAGGTTAGGTGGACTCAGCAAAGCAAAGAATTTAAATCTAGAATTAAAAGGTATGAAATTCATTACAGAAAAAAAAAATCATTACAGGAAAAAGAAAATGCATGTAAAAACTGAAGGATTGGTAAGCAATTTAGTAGCTTTAATCATCATGCTTCATTTTCTTCCTGAACATCTTAATATAGCAAGCCAGTCAAATGAAATACCCTGAAATTTGAATTTTTCTCCCTTAAGTAAGAATACATGGTTGCTGAGTATTTCAGTTAAGAACATACCCCCGATTTTGAAATTAACTTCCAAAGATATTATTGCTAGTGCTGTTATGTGCCTGYAGTGCAGCTGCTTCTCCAACCCCACTAATACTGCACCTTGTTCTGATGTCACTGGGGAAGTGAAACCTTCAGATAAGCTCAGCTGCCATAGAACACTCATGTTACCATAAATTTCCTATGGGGAAATTGGGCATTTCTGGTGAGGTCTCCTTATTTCAGTAGAGCTGTTTGTATCCTTGACAAATATTCTATTGCAGACATATTTTAAAGAAATAAGCCATTTTCTTGCTTAGGAAAGAAGCAATAGTTGTCATCGGGGCTTTATTGTTTTCATAAAGTACTACTCTTAAGTTTTGTGACAAAAATGCCTTGGTAACATAACACTTTTTTTGAAATCTTACATTTTAAAAGCTGGCTTTCTAAAACATTAGAAATTGAAACTTTGCATCACCTTTTAATGATGATTTTTCTTCCTTTTCTAGACTTGTAGGAGATATACTGCTCTGCACAGGCTTTCTTTCATACTGTGGACCTTTTAATCAGGACTTCAGGAACCTGTTGCTTAAAGACTTATGGGAAACAGAGTTGAGAGTTCATAAAATCCCCTTTTCTGAAGATTTGAACCTGATTTCTATGTTGGTAGATCCAGCAACAGTAAGTTCTTGGTGTCTGGAGGTTTTAATTTGAATTTTCTTTAGCATGTTCTATGACAGTTAGCAAGCATTATGCTTGCTTAAAGAAGAACTATGATCCCCAATATTCCAAATATTGCTGTGCAGTATAGTTTTGTGGTTTCTGAATGCRCTTGGCAATTTCCACTAAATATTGGAGTATTGAGCAATGGTAAGACAGATAAGCAAGTTATGTATTATAAACCAGTGACACGCTATACAATTAGATGGGTGTAGTAAAAGCACTGAAAGCTCATCTTATTTTGAGAAACCACCACAGCTACAGATCATACACCTGCTTGTTATGGCTTAACCTCAATCAGTAACTAGGGACCCCACAGCCCCTTGTTAACACCCCCATCCCACCCACCCTCCCCCATGGTGGAAATTGGGAAGAAAAGATAAACCTCTTGGGTTGAGCTAAGAGTAATTTAATAATTGAATATATATATATATATATATATATATATATATATATATAGCAATGCTTCTGATAATAATAATAATAATGATTAATACTAACAAAACCAAGAGAAACATGTGTTGCACAATAGAATTTCTCACCACCTGCTGACCAATACCCAGTCAATCCCTGAACCATGATCAGCCCTCTTCACAGTAACTCCCCTAGTTTATACAGTTTATGCATGGCACTCCAGGGTTATGGAATATTCCTTTGGCCAGTTCAGGGCAGCTGTCTTGGCCATGCTCCCTCCCAGCTTGTTGTGCACCTCCCTGCTGGCAGAGCACAGGACACTGAAAAATCCTCGACTTAGCATGGCATTACTGAACAGCAGCCAAAACATCAATGTGGCAACATTATTCACATATTAAATCAAAATAACACAGTACTRTGCCATTTACTAAGAAGAAACAGAACTCTCAGCCAAAACCAGGACACTTCTAAAACACTGGGTGTGGTTGTAATTTAGAAAAAAATACACTGTCTTTTTATTCAATGTGAATGTATAGGAAATCAGAGGACCATGCCTGAATCTTCAAGATTCCTTCAGTAAATATTAATTCCCAAAAGGTCTCTTAGCTTTTTGCTCAGCTGATGCCAACTGGTTTTTGCTTAATTGATCCCAATGTTTAATTTGTTGGTCAAGATATCTTTTGACATCCTTACACTTTGAAATACACTCTTTTTGATTCTATATCATTAGAAACATACATAAAAATGGAAATCTGGAAATATTTTTATATCTGCATTAATAATTCTTCAGTAGGTTTAGATATGCATCCCCTTTAATGTCTCTGTTACTTCTTGGAACAATTAGTTGAAAAATAATTCCAGCAATATTTTCTTTGAAACAACCCTTTTTTACTTCATCATCTCTCTTTTTTTTTTTTTTTTTTTTTTTTTTTTTTTTTCTTTAGATTAGTGAGTGGAATCTTCAGGGATTGCCTGGAGATCACCTCTCAATTCAGAATGGTATCATTGTCACTAAGGCATCAAGATATCCACTTTTGGTAGACCCACAAACGCAAGGAAAAGAGTGGGTTAAAAATAAAGAACAGGGTAATGAATTACAGGTAAACAGTGTCTTAAAGGAATGGTGGGCTCTATCATAGTCCTTCAAACATTATTACTYGGGAAGAGGGTTACTTGAGAAGAGGGTTGCATTTGAGTCAGTGTGATCTGAGATTACTTTAACATGTACAGAGACTGACAATTATGTAGATGCATCAGCAGGATGAACTGGACAACAGCTGTAAATCCCACTCAAAGGGATTTAGAAAGAGTATCTAACTCTTGTTAGATACTTGATTCACTTGYATGAAATCCAGCAAAAAGTATAAAAGAGAAGGAAGTAGCCTTTTGTTCAAGATGGGTATGTTCCCTACACAAAAGAGGAAGAAGAGGTAACAAGTAAAGCAAAAGAGTATAATAAGAAATGATTAAATGAGAGTAAATTGGGCAACTATTAGTAACATTGCAGGTAAAGATAGGATAAGCTACAGTTCTGAAAATGTATGCAAAGTGCTTCAACTAATGCAGTCCATAATTTAGGACCTGAGAGGGTATTCATAATGAGGTTGTGGCTATAAAAGGAAATTGAGGAAAACCAGCTGAAGCCCAAGAAACCCAAGCCCAAACCTAAGAACTCATATGTCCTGAATATCAATAAATTTTTTAGGATTTACTGTTAATTATATAGTTTRCTAGTTTATCAATTTTTTAATGATTTCATATATTATTAATCCAATTTAATGAAATATCAATCTGAGTTCAAAATATTGCAGAAGTGATTAATTTTTTAGACTGATCTCAGATTTGCAGAAAAAATTTCTTAGCATTCCAAAGCTAAAATTAGAAAATCTAGTCCTTCTAGGGCRTAGAACAGAAAATTAAAGGCTAGGTGTCTCTGATTTGTAAAATATATGAAGCATCTTTAATATGCAATAAGCTGTACCAGTTTTATTCAGTAAACTATTACTCTCATAATGAAGTTCTGAGGATTCAATTACAGCCAACCTTTTAATTGACCTTTTTACGGTACATGAAGAGTATTTCTGCATAAATTGCTGCATGGCCAACATTTATAGCACCTTCTTTAAAATGCAAAAAAAAACAATGAAAAAAGTTTCCATGGTTAGATCTGTGGTTTTCATGTAAGACTTCGGGAAAATGCTCTGTCCTTATACCAATTTATAATTTCTTTTTTGAGGTAACATCTCTGAATGACAAGTATTTCCGACAACATCTAGAAGACAGTCTTTCACTAGGACGATCACTCCTGATTGAAGATATAGATGAAGATTTGGATCCAGTCCTTGATAATGTATTAGAAAAGAATTTCATGAAGTCTGGAACTGCTTTTAAGGTGAGTAATCAAACACGAGAAATGGAATAAATAGTTAGCCTTGTGACAAATGTTATTTTACCATTGTTATACATGTCTGCTGAATCAGGTTAACTTTGTGTTCAGTAGAGAAGTGTAAAGAATCAAACTGAACTAATAAAATATAGGAAACAGAGCCTCAGCTGTGTAGTAAGTTGATGAGTCTAAAATATGAGCTTAAATACCAGAGTTATTGCTGAAGATTCCAAACTGGAACCAATAATTTTTATCCGATTAAATGTTTAAGATTCTTTCTAYTGATTTTCAAGCAAATATGCTTAAAGGGAGTGATTTGGTCCTACTCCTTTGTAAGCCAGATATTTGAAGTGCCTTGAAGACTTCAATGTTGGCAGTGGGGCTGGAACAAGATGATCTTTAAGATCACTTCCAACACCAAAAATTCCATAATTCATACTACAATGTACAGCCATCAGATTTCCTTGTGCACGTGTAGCTTTTGAGTTAGACTGCTGTTTTGGAGTATCTTAATTCTGTAAAAATTTCTTTGGAAAACTTTGAATAAATTGTTAATTCTTTTGRAAAGATTCTTTGAAACCTGCTTAGTCTTAAAAAAGAAAAAATTTATGTCCAATAATTTATGTTCCATTGTTGGATCACATAATTCCTTTTTCCTTGGACTAAGGAAACAATAATTTTTCCAAAGGTCAGCAGTTTCTACCATCTMTTCATTTGAAATGTGGTTAGAAACCAAATGGCTTCCAATGGAAGCTGTTAATCAGAATCCACAGTGGAGGCAATCCCTATAGCTAGCTGGAGGGAAGCGCTACTTTTATAACATACTCTAACTTCTATATTTGGTCACTGAGTTTTATTTTYATGACAAATTTGAATTGTGAAATAAATTTCCTCTCTTAGACATTTTAAATACTGTATTTTTTTTCCTGGTCAATRTTACTGAGTTTAATAAAGCTASTTTTTCTCTGTTTAATACTATTTAAACTTAATCCCCAGGTGAAAGTTGGTGATAAGGAAGTAGATGTTATGAATTCATTTAGACTGTACATTACTACAAAACTACCAAATCCTGCTTTCACACCTGAAATTAATGCAAAATCATCAATTATTGATTTTACTGTTACAATGAAAGGACTTGAGAATCAGTTACTGAGAAGAGTAATACTTACTGAAAAGCAGGTAAGTTGACAGTACACATAAACCATAGCAATATTTAGATTTTTTTTCCATTTAGTTTGTTTTGGTATGTAGAAAAAAAGAGAAGTTCAAATGATAAAAAGGTATTAGCCATTTTCTAAAATCATGTTCACATTCAGTATAGACATTTCCAAATAACAAAAATACATTGGGARGCTTTTAATATATAAATGACTGTCAGTACAACACAAACCATTAAGCACAAGGATTTGGCATTGATAAGATACATCATAAAATACTGAATAAACACTGTTTAAAAAAAAAAATCATTATTAGAAACACGTTTTAGATACCCAAAAAAGTAAAATGCACATTTCATGACTGGATCCAACTCTTCACCATATCTTCAATCACAATTCATCAACTTGAAAAATCAGCAAATGAATTTTAAGTATCCCTCACAGTTGCAGACCATAAAGTTTCATGCCATTTTCTTGTTTTTTTAATAACAGGAACTAGAGGCAGAACGAATTAAACTCATGGAAGATGTAACTTCTAATAAGAGGAAGATGAATGAACTGGAAGACAATCTTCTTTACAAACTAAGTGCAACCAAAGGTTCTGTATTAAAGTATTATTCAGATTAGGCAGATAAAACTGATTCACACTAGATCCTCTCCATACAGAAGTAGATTTATCTAAGATACAACAGGAGAATATATAAGGGTGGGAGTATGAGGACTGTGAGGGATTTAGTCCTTTAGCATGCCACTGTTTGCAGCTCTAGACACTGTTTTGCTCTAGACACTTTTAGGTTTAACACACAGGTTTTGTGAAATAAATCCTGTTTTTTTGAGCACTTTCTGCCCTTGATATGAGATAAGGTGTCTGACCATGAACAAATTTTACACCTATTGAAAATATAAATTAGAATGGCCTGGCTTAAAATTGTCTTGAAACTCTTCTGCAGCCCATTATGAGCCTGAACATGATCAGTTACTATCTCTGGTGGAGAATGAAACTGGTAACAGAAAATCACTGCGTAACTGCTCGAGATTCATGAATATTGTTGAGTGACCATTTCCTTTAGGACCCTAAGTATTTTTTACTTTGAGTGTGCCAATGAATAGACTTCAAAATAATTTAAATATTTTGTTGAATATGTTTGTTACATGCATAAGAGACTTCACTAGTACACGTTGCAAAGCTGTTGGTATAAATACTTTTGTCATGTTCTGAATTCATTTGCTTAATATGTTGGATGTAAAAATAAATCTTAGTATTACAAATGCTGTTTTGTCTCTACTTTAAAAGCTTTCTGTTATTCAGAAAATAATTTCAATTTTTTATAAATTATTTCTGAAATTTGACCCTTTGGCTTTTATATACATATGAACTGAAAATATTGTTATAAAAATGTCCTAAACATTCAGTATTTTCCTTTTTAGGTTCACTAGTGGATGATGAATCCTTAATTGGTGTACTGCAAATAACTAAGCAAACAGCTGCTGAAATAGCTGTCAAGTTGTCTGTGGCAGCAGAAACTGAAGTGAAGATCAACACTGCCCAGGAGGAATATCGACCTGTTGCTACACGYGGAAGCATTCTTTATTTCCTTCTTACAGCAATGAGCATGGTCAATAATATGTATCAAACTTCACTGGCTCAGTTCTTGAAGCTGTTTGATCAATCCATAGCCACGTAGGGAGACACAGATTTTTCCTATTATTCAGATGTTTCCCTTTCCAATGTCTTTGCTGTTATTAAAATGATTTCTTTGTGCTTTGTTTTCATCATTTAGATCTAAGAAATCTCCTGTGCCTCAGAAAAGAATCTCAAATATTATCGAACATCTTACCTTTGAAATTCACTCATATTCTGTTAGAGGCCTGCATGAAAATCACAAATTCCTCTTCACCCTCCTCCTGGCTTTAAAAATTGATATTGAGAGAGGACAYGTGGAAAACAGAGAGTTCCAAACTCTCATTAGAGGTATGTTTTTTAAATTGTGWTATATGTAGAACTAATTCAACTTTTTAAACTTTTATGCCATTTCCAAGTGTTCTTTCTTGTCTRCGTGGTTTCTGTTAGCAGCTCTGTGGGAACAAGCAAAGAGTAGCCTTTGAAGAGACCCAGTAGTAGCCTTCCAACACCTCTGAGAAGGCCTTTAGTAAGACTAAGTTATCCTCTGGTACAGTTAGTATTCTGAAGAAAATTACTTAAGTAAAAATACATAATTTAAAAAGAAATATCAAAAATATCTTGACCCCTGGAATACCRTGTATTTCATCAGAATGTTTGTATCCACAGGAGGTGCAGCTTTGGATCTACAGGCTTGCCCACCAAAACCATCCCGCTGGATTCTTGACATGACATGGCTAAACCTGGTGGAGTTGAGCAAACTTCCACAGTTTGAAGAAATTTTGGACCAGGTGATACTCAGTAATTATCTTTTTAATGTTAATAACCAGTTTTTTCATCAAAACTGTGTTTTCACAAAAATACAGAATAACATCATGGAGWTCAACAATTGCATTTTCATTATGTTCTGTCCACTGGTATCCCTTGWCCTACTAGGTCACGGGTTCTAAGGTGTGCCTAAAGTTGTGATCATGTTCGTGGTCAGTTTTATTCTTTCTCAAGCTAAAAGCCTACTAGAATCTGTTACTTTTCATTTGTGATTCATTGGCTGGCTAGACTGTAGTGGGACATATTTTCCTGGTCCTCTTCATACTTTGTGACCAAATGGAATTAATTAATCACAGTATGTTCCTCTTGTAATATAAAATCCTTCTGCTAATTATTGATTTTTCTTAAAAATCTGCATGTGTTGGGGAGGGGAATGCAAAGATAACTGACTGGCTTGAGAGCCTGCATCTTAACACTGATTGTAATAATTGAATTAATATTATTTGTAATATTTTAATTGCTACTCACATGACATACATCTTAAATGCTATAGGCAATGTTACTTKTAATATATCCTAATATAATAACAGCCTCTCATTAAAAGCTACATTTGCAAGGAGATTTTACTGCAGCTGAAATGTATTTATCTGTGTGTTAATGTAATAAATTTAGATAGCCCAAAGTGATAGACAATGGAAAAACTGGTTTGATAAAGATGCCCCTGAGGARGAAACTATACCTAATGGATACAGTGATACCCTCGACACATTTCGCAAGCTTTTACTCATCAGGTGAGCATCTTCAGAAATTTTGGCACTTGCAGCACGTGTCTCAACCTATCAGTATGCTATTATCATAATAGTGTGATTTTAATTAGCTCTGGGTGACATTAAATATCAATTCACTCACATGAAATATGTAGTTATTCCCTTGCTTCRTAGCTATCGTCTGCCATCTAAAGGCATTTATAGAAAATATTTTTATAGCTTTGCTTTTATGTCATGACATATTGGGAATAGAAGCCGGGAATCATACTGCATCCTTCTTTGAGAAGCCTATGAAAACGTAGAATAATACATATAGTTTTCAATTTTTTTTAATTTCTTCTAAAATTAACTCTTTTAAATATCTTTAAAGAAGCATTAAAAATTAAAAAAATTTAAAAAAGAAAAAAATAAAATAAAATAATAATAAAAAAAAGAAATAAAAAATAAAAATAAGAGATTATGAAAATGCAGGTATTCAAAACCCATGTGAAAAGTGTGCTTTTTTTTTTTTTTTTTTTTAATCACATAAGATCTCTGAGATCCTGGGATAAAATGGAATACCCCAAAACAGCATTCAGCTGCCTTATGAATGAGATCATATCTTCCTACATTCATTGTATACTTTCCAAGTGCTGTAACAAATAAATCAGAAATACTACAAAAAGCCCCARCAATATTATTTACTAGACTGTGACTTGTCTTTGGAGCAGATTCAGTCTGTGCAGTAAAAAGGCTAGAATCTGATGGAAATACCATAATGTAAAATGCTCTACACCCTAAGAAGGAGGGGAGCATCCAAGTCCTAAGCATTTAAATAATAGTAAAATTGGAAGATTTTCAAACTAATATATCTTATTCAAAAGTAGTTGTTGGTTATTTRTTTTTCCATGGGAAAAACACCCATCGCCAAAACAAATGCAATCCAGTGCAAAAGAGTTGAGTTTGTAGCTGAAAAATCTAACAGACCCAATTAATCATCTGCATTTTAMTAAAGGGCAAAAATAGTCTTACGTTTCCCTCCTTGTGTTCTCAAATATGAAAGTTCTGTTTAAAATGAAGAATGTCCCAGCCTAATAAWGGTGCCTAGAACAGAAAATTCCTAACAGTTAAGGCAAAAATTTARGCAACTGGAAAGTATTGARCMGTTGTAAGCAAAGACCATCAGCTCTGTCTGTTGTTATATCTGTAAAGACAAATCTAAAACCATATATATGAATGTGTGTGCATGTACACATATATATACATATTTTGTGATAAAAAAAATCCCTCTATTCGATAAAAATAGATTTCTAATTTGTTTGATATTGGAGGAAGAGACAGTGAATTTATATCTTGGTATGTATTTTAATTTCTAGGTCTTGGTGTCCAGACCGAACACTTTCCCAAGCCAGGAAATATATTGCAAGTTCCTTGCATGAGAAATATACAGAGCCAGTTATTTTGAATTTAAGAAAAACTTGGGAAGAAAGTGACATGCGAACGCCTCTCATCTGTTTCTTGTCTATGGGATCAGATCCAACTGACCAGATTGACTCCTTGTCTAGGAAACTTAATTTGGGTATGAAAGTAATTATTCATTGTCCTATGTTAAGACACAGAGGGGCAGTTGTAAGTAATTCCAGAAATATTATTTTCTGAGAAGAATTTCTTTAATTGTTTTGTACTACTGTTTGTTTCTGAACCATCTTCTTAGAGACGAAACAATATTTTAAATAGAAGATGGTATGCTAAGAACCATTCTGTGTGAAATTGGACTTTTTTTAATATAATAAGTGATGATAACTTTTTAAATCCCTATCTTGTAAAGCAATTMATCCTTTTTTAAAATTCTCTTATGGTGACAATAATGTTTCCTATTTTAACTCTTAACTGCACGTAATGTAAAAGTCAGTAATCTGCTTACAAGATTACTTTGTAACAAAAAAATAGCTACAAAATCTACATTTGTATGTTGTGGATTTTACTTCTACATTACGTAGAAGTTTTGAAAAAGTGTGAATACAAACTGAGTTGGGAGCAGATACACATATTCTTGACATTAGTCACATTAGTATGTGCATAAATGCAGTTTTATGTCTTTGCATTGTGTTTAAGTACCCTTAGAAAAAACTCTCTGTTCATATTTCAAACGTTCTGGTATTGTTAAAATTTGGCACAAATTCACATTCACAATCATTAGTCACAGTTTTTAACTTCTCTAAGTATTGTGTATGTGTATTTCAATGCTGTACAAAATGCTGGCATTTAGAAAATTTACACATAGTTGCATAATATGATGGTGAAGGGATTATGTTTTCATAAATATGTATTTTTGAATTGAATTAATTTAATTGTGCTGCTTTTTGTATCACTGGTTTTTGGACTGAATTGAAATTCTTACCTTTTCTCAATAATGTTAGCTCATTATTATATTGTCAAATATGTTACAGAATGTAGGACCATCTCTATGGGCCAAGGACAAGAGGTTCATGCACGCAAACTCATAGAAGTTTCAATGGAACAGGTGGGGAAAACCATTGCAATATAAATTGTTTGTTTTGGTGTTCTTTTACACCTCTTTAGCACGCAGTCTTTAATCTTTTGCATTTTCATCTTACTATCAGGCATATCTCAGGGTGAATATGTCTTTTTGAATACTTGAGTTTAAAAACATTCCCCTGTGGGATATGTAKGTGACAGTGGAGTCCCAGTCAATACTTCTGGCAGCAGTGCTACTGAGCTTTCCAAAAGCAGCACATTCCTTACTTATCACTATACTGTTAGCCAAGGGTAAATGAACATTGGGTCCTGGTCCTGTCCTGCAGATCCCACCTTTATATTGGAATTTTTTTTTCATTTATCCTCTCCCTTTTAAGAGATACCCTGGATGTTGCATAGCTACTGCTAGATAAAATGGTGAGGGCACAGGTAGCTTAAAATTGTGGATACAGAAGGATATGCTTGCTCCTAATACTGTTTCACATTTTCCTTACAACTCTACTGCTGACAGGACCTCTTGCTCACCAGTCTTGGCATCTCCTCTTCATTTTTTTAGTTGTCAATCTTTTGGCTTTGAGTCCCAAGTACATAATAAAATTTCTAAACAACACATACGAATTTTTCTTTAAATGTTGTAGTGTACTTTGTTATTGCAGATGATATTCTCCAACAGTAAATAGTAATTGAAACCTCAAATACAATATAAAAGTTACACTGCAAAGATGATACTTTCTGGTCAGCTGGACACTTCMAGGAGTTGTGGACAKTCTTGCAAAAGAAGACATACAACCATAGCTGCCTGCAAAGTCAAAATATGGACAGTCAGTCATATACCTGTAACTCCACTAATAGAGAGCAGAACATGAGTATTGGAATATAGATGTACACCACTTAAAAAGAGAAAAAAAGAATCTCTTTATAGCAAATGACAATTTCTATTATGTGCAAATACACACATACATCTCATCTTTTTTTATGTCTAGAATGGTCACTGTCAACTCCCAGTTGACTGGAATGGTGAAAACTGGAACATCCCTTCCTTTCTTTTGTGCTCTGATTTGAAGTACAAGGACACTCAAAGCAGCTCTCTAGCAGAGCTACTGGTAGCAATTGCTGAACCACATGCCTTAGTGTTACACACATTCTGTGAAGGGAAGAATATATGAATATCAGACTTAAGACTACAAAAYAGAATTAATGAATATATGACAAATATGTATTTGTACTTTTTGTACCTCTGGCTGAGAGCCTATAATATGATTAAAACAGCTGTGCTGTGTTACCAGAAGATAATTTTCAAAAACTGATTCATTTTAAAATGTACAAAGTGATTAAAGATCTGCCTCAAAAAAGTTGATCCCCATAAAAGAAAAAAAAAACAAACCTCCTTAATTTAATATTTTTTTAATATCCACCATTTCACCATAAATATTTAAATAATATTTTTTCACAAACAGTTACTGATTTCTTTTTAAATGAGCTAAAACAAAATWGCTTAAATGAAATTACAAGCTGTAATGAAATCCACTGTCCATCACTGTTTAGAACTGATTAAATAATGTCCCATTTTAATATCAGGCTTCTAATTCTTCAGGCTTCTAAAGTGATGCTGCAAAAGCTGATTGAATTTAAATTCATAWGCAGAAATTCAGAGAGACAATAATCCAGCTAGAGCTTTCATGCAATTTGAGAGATGAATAAGATCAAAATAAGTGGAGGTTGAATTTCATGTAAATGCCTTTATTGCAGATAAACTAATTGGAATATTACCACCTCTTTACACTTGCTTTAAATTGCGTTATTAACAAATCAGTTTTTAAAAATATATATTCCTTAAACTTCAGATGTTACTTTTCCACTCACATTCCTTWGCTTTGATGACATTATTGTTTATCACTGGTGTTTCTCTGAGAGAGAACAGGAACTACTTTTTGCCACTAGATAGCACTGATACTTTACTTACAATATTGAGTCTGGTTATGTTATTTTCATTGAGAACAAGAGCATGTGGAAATAAGTTTTGCACTAACTTAACCTATTTGCTTTGTCTGTGCCAATATCCTATAACATCAAATAATATATATTCAGGAAACAGAACAAAAGTGAAGAAAAATTATAAAGAAAACCAAATTTGAATTTTACATAGACAGTTTTCTTTAGCACTATGAATAACTTGTTCTAAATTTTATATGGTAATAGTCAATATTCTTATTTAGGGAGGCTGGGTATTACTTCAGAATTGTCACCTTGGACTGGATTTCATGGAGGAACTACTGGAGACAATTCTTACCGCTGAGATCCCGAATGACACATTCCGAGTTTGGATAACTACTGAACAACATCCTAAATTCTCAATCACACTGCTACAGGTTCGTTCAAACATTTAATTCATGTACTTCAAGAAAATTATCTGGATTAATCGTGCAAATGGAAGTGAAATAAAGGAGGAGGGAAAAGCCCCAAAACYGAAGAAAAAATTTGACTTGCCTTACAATGTAAATATCACTTCAAACAGGAAGGTTCCTTATCAGTGACTGGAAGTTCCTGATGATGCATTTTACATGTGTGAGTCCACACTAATTCTATTCACAGAAACACCTGAATAAAAAACATTGGGCTTTATTTGTATCCCTTTTTGCCCAACCAGATGCCTTGTGAACATATTAATACCCACAAATGCTCTTCCAGAGGAAGATTCCAGATTCCCCTATGACAAATAAAGTATAAATGGGACAGAACACACATGGGTAGCACATCTTGGAGAACACCATCTACCTGATTTCTCTGGATGAACTATAAATGGCTGTTCTATAGATCTCAAGGATCCATTTTTCATCAGGACCAGGAAAATTGCCTGGTCTTACAAAGTACACTTAAGCCCCTAATGGTAGTTCCCAGCACTCTCACAGTGGGTCATAATGCTACTTAATATCTACTCTAATAGCTGTATGTTGACAATTCTGTGTTCCCTTTTCTCTAAAAAACCGTGGAAGCCTCCTTAGTGGTTCTCATTCTCTCTGAATAAAAATAGACACCATACCTGACATCTAGGATGTGAAGGGGGGAAGGACTCCTTTCTTGAATGAGTCTGGAGACAACCTTCAATAAGAATTGTCTGYCACCATGGTCTGTGTAGAGAAAGGTAGCTGGACTTGTGGACTCTTAGATTCTCTCAACAGAAAATGMAATCATCCTGCATCTACGAGGGGTTTATTAATAGTGAGGTATATAAACATATGGTTTGCTAAAAGTGAGACAAGAGAAYTACAAGAGTTGCTAGATGGATCTGCGCTGCATCTATCTCAAATATTTCACATGCAATTTCCCACCCTATAATGTCACATTACCTGTTAAAATGTTAACATATTCAGGGACTCCAGAAAATGAATAACTGACAAATCAAGCCCCTTCTCAGAAGAAAAGAGAATAATTTGCTTTGCTTTTTTTAATATAGAATGTTCATCAAAAACTGAACAGGATGTCCTTTGAAATATGGAAACACTGATTTTCGAGTGTTCCTATTCAGTCCAGCAGTCACAGGAAGACAACACAGTGTGTCCATGGGCTGCCTGGCATTTACTGTCCTTTCTATGCTACCATGCTACCCAAGCCAGACATTACTGTTGGAGAAAAAGAACCCCTTTGTTTTTATTTGTAATTGTCTTGAGGAATAGAGATTCCGGTAAGGCAAGTCTGTGTCTGAGCAAATTCTTCCACGAGCATTATCTGGCCCTGGGATGCAATAGCCCGTAGGGATAAGTACAACACTCTGATGTGAAAAGCTGTGCTAGCTAGCATTTTTCCAAATAATTTGCAGGTATGGTTTGAAAATTAAAATTGTCTCGCCACTCTTCCCATTAGGACRTTTGCATGAAACTGATGGGCTGAATTCTAAGGGGCTGTGGCAATTTACTACCACAAATGTGATTTTAATGCCTGCTGACCAGAATGCTCAGGAATATTCTCTAGTGAATCCAATTTGCTGCTGTAGACAGCCACAGAGTCCAGAGTAGCCGCTGTGAACATAAAGATCTGATGGGAGAAGAAGTGAGATCTCTTTGTATTTACTGTGAAATACTGGGGACAGAAATACAGTGTCATTTTGTCATTTATACTGGATACTTCTCCTCCATCATTCACTCATTGAATTAGGGATATAAAATCATGAGACTTCTGGAAAGCATGCTGACTGCTTCCACATCATCGATGAAAAATTTTGGATCCACGGCCAAGTGTCAGTGATTGTTCTAACCAACATAAACTAAAGGTCTATGTTCAAAATCCTTCGTGGCCTAATCTAGTATGACTGGAGAAGAGAAGGTTTTGGGAAAGGCCTTATTGCAGCCTTTCGATACTTGAACTGGCCCCTAGGAAGGATGGGAACAGTATGGTCTGTTGCAATACAACAAGGTGCTCCGATTTTAAATGGAAGATTCTATTTAGATTAGATGTATGAAAAATGTTTTTGTACAATGRGCATGGTGAGGCAATGGAACAGGTTACCCAGGAAGGTGGTGAATGCTTCATCCCTGGAGACATTCAAGATCAAGTTGGACAGGGCTTGGAGCAACCCAATCTATTTGAAGATGTCACTGGTCATTGAGGGGGGTTGGACTAGATGGCCYTTAATAGSTCCTTTCCAACTCAAACTATTCTATGTATGATCTTATGTACTCCTTTTTTGCAGTTTAAGTGCATATCAATTTTATTTCTACAAGGCTTCAGCTRTTTACATTTTATTTATGACTAATAGTTGTGACATTTTCATATGTTGCTATTTTTGTTTCAGTAAACATATCCAATTCCTTTATCTTTTTCATATGGCAGATTGCTATAAAGTTCACAAATGAACCTCCACAAGGAATACGTGCTGGATTGAAAAGAACATTTTCTTCAATAAGCCAGGATATGTTAAATGTTAGCAACCTGCCKATGTGGAAACCTTTGCTTTACACTGTAGCTTTCCTGCATTCAACTGTTCAGGTATTTCCTAAAAGGTTTTGCAAAGGGTGTTATACAAAAAGCACATTCTGACATTTATTGTAGCATCGTACTGCAGGAGTAAAGCTTTAATTTCTGTAATTTATATTTCAAGATTCCTTATTCTCTCTCTTTTTTTTTGTTTTTTAGCTTTTAAACAATTTTCATATGATGGGCACATAGAATTTGTTTTTTCTCATTTAACTTCAGCTCATTCAGCTCATCAAATGTTAGTGATTGGGTGTAAGGGAAAAATTTCTTTCTGTAGTCAATAAAAACAAATAAGCACTCTGAAAGAGAAAACCAGCTTATTTTTCATAGCTGTCTTTCTGTAAGAGTGAATATTTTGCTAGAGATATATCACTCTTTCTGTCCATTGATTTTGAAGGCAATCCAGGTGACTTAGAGTAGCTGTCTACTTTCTAGAKGGCTAAAATTAAATAAAATTCTTATCTGTGTCAATGTGTTTTGTACATCAATTCCAATGTGAGAATGATGATATCTATACCTTGTACTTTAAAGATAAATAAATTTTTAGATCACAATCAATACAAACAATCTGAGCTCGCTGAATGCACCTTTTCATAAAGATCTCAGTCTGGTTATAAAACACTGTTTAATTCCTTTGCTCTACTAAGCAGCTCATATTTTCAGTGAGAGAAGGAAAATTTGTTGAGGTTCCCTATTAAGATTCAGTATTCTTCATTATTTTCCTTCTATCTTTCTAAACAATGCAAAAGTTGTTCTGTGTACTGCCTCAGGATTATAGTGTTCTTGTGGGACTAGAAAATCCATGCTTATTCAACCCATCAGTATTTTTAAAAATTGTTACAACTATTCATCCATTAAGAAATTTTATTTATGAAYTGCCAACCAACAAGTAGTATATATATTGTCTTTCCTTTAAACTGAACAATTCTTAATATTCTTTGGTGACAAGACCATTATGATAAATATAGCTTAAGAAGTAATTCAAAAAACTTGGCAGGAAATCATTACACCTTTCTGCAGGGTATTATTGGATAATGCTGTCTCATCTGCTTATAAGTAATATTTGATTTTGAAAAGTAAAAGGTGGAGTCTTTTTCAATTCTAGTTCTTTTAAAATATTTTAGCTAAGGTACATAAATATTACTTCAGGTGTCAAACACAGTCAGTCATTGCTGAGCTGGTAAARTAAACTTTTATAAATACGTTATTACTTAGTTAATTTTTGAATGTAATTTGTTCATTTGATAAATGAACAAATCCAGCAATTTAGTTCTTAACTTCTTGAATTGATTTGTTCTATGTTCTGAAAAATATCATAGAGCAATTTAACTGAGGTGGCTATAAGAAAGTTGTGAGAAATCTGACAGTGTTGGATGTTTGAAATGTTTGGGCTACAGAGATATCTCTCTTACTTTCATAGTTACTATTTTTCTCTTACAAGAACTGCTATCATTTTACTTGCAAATAAGTATGCAATAATAAATTTGAATAATGTCATTGCAGCAACCTTAAAGTTATGAATTTTGAAAAATGTACATTAAAACAATGAATTAATGTACAAAAATGTACATTAAAACAATGGATTGAAACCATAAGACAAAAGTGGCAACCTAGAAGCCTTTGGATAACAGCATAAATTTAGGAGTTTAAAAATTTGAAACTACCATTAGTAGACAGTGTATGTAAAAAGAAATGAAAAATTGTACAATCCTAAGTGACTTAATTACTTAATACAAAAATATCATCATCCATGCACACGTGAGGCATTGCAAACCGGTGACTGACAAATTGATTAGTAAAGCTAGTAAAAATGATTTTGTTGCTTTTTCTATAAATATTTATCCCTCACAGTGTAATTTAATATTAACTGTACTATTGATGTGTATGAGGCATGCAATAATTTCCTARGCTACCTTTCTTCTATAGTTCAATTCTTTACTCTACTCTTACTATTATAAATATTGAACTTTAATAAGAAAAAGAAATCRTAAGTTGTTTCATAAATRTATTTGRGTTTATTTTTTTTCCTAAGGAGCGACGCAAGTTTGGACCTTTGGGTTGGAATATTCCCTATGAATTTAACTCAGCAGACTTTACAGCCAGTATTCAGTTTATACAAAATCACCTAAAAAAAATTGACATCAAGAAGGTGAATACTAAAATCTCTATACAGTATATTGAAATGCTTTCTGTGGCGGCAGCAGCATTTTTTTCCCTCATAATACTATTTATCATACTTTACTCATTGCTATTCATCCAGTGCCATTTTTAATGATCAAAGCTTGAGATTCTCTGCAAGAAAATAAAGCTGAAATATTTTATGTGCWATCATGCTTGTAAAATTACACGGTTGTGAAGAAACTTTAAAATTGGATTTTTTTTTTCACTACAGTATCTAAAATTAATAAGCATGTATGTTGCCTGTTTTGGAAAGGGAGCTAAAATTTTTACTGAATTTAACATAGCCAATCAAACTCTATGGTGCCATTTGGTCTTCTGCTTAGCAGGGAATAGCACTTTGTGAAGCAGCACTGGATCAAGCAAGATGAGAAACAGGAAGAAAGGGTGGAGTGGGGAGGGTGCTTTGGGGAGAAAGAGGAGGAGCAATAGCARCTGTGAATGTTTTCAGGTCACAAAAAAAGGGATAATGAAACATATGACATATATTTTATATGTTTTATATATAAAATATATAATGAGATTTTAGTTCTAGAGAGCAAGGCACATGAGGAGTGGCTGAGGGAGCTGGGGTTTTTTAGCCTGGAGAAAAGGAGGCTTTAGGAATACCTGACCGCCCTCTACAGCTCCCTGAGAGGAGGCTGTAGCAAGGTGTGGGTTGGCCTCTTCTCCCAGGMAACCAGATGATATTGAAATTTCAGTCTGGATACCTTTTTTTTACATATTATAACTGCAGTCTTTCATTTCCTTTCCTTGCATCCAGGGGATATCGTGGAACACAGTACGCTACATGATTGGAGAAGTGCAGTATGGAGGCCGAGTCACAGATGACTATGATAAGCGTCTTCTTAATTGYTTTGCAAGGGTAGGAGACTTTGGAAGTCCCGTCATTTGTCATTTTTATTGGCAGCTGCAATACAGAAATCAGAAGGCCCTTCTTTCTGCTGAATATGCACTTCACCAGTTTATAAAGCTTTTCAAAGTAAAATKAATTTTTCAAAACATCATTCTTAGGCAGTGAGGTTCTTTCCCTTGGCTCCTGTTTGGTGAGAAACAGAAGCTTAAAAATACTTCACTGAAAGTGAAACTTAGTAGACGTAATTCTTAATGATTTACTGTTGTATTAAAGTAAAAATAGCTGAAACAAGAATCCTAATCCTCCAAGAGTAAAAATGAGATTAGAAAGCCCTCTAAGCAGCAAAATAATTGTTGGTTTTCTTTTTTTGCCCACGGATTTTTCACAGGTATGGTTTAATGAAAACATGTTTGAGAGCTCTTTCTGCTTCTATACTGGATATCAAATTCCAGTGTGCAAAACCCTGGAACAGTACTTTGATTACATCCAGTTACTCCCTGCCATGGACACCCCAGAGGTGTTTGGTCTCCATCCTAATGCTGATATTACGTAAGTAGGTCTCAACATATTGAAAMTGAAGAAYCTTTCTTTTAGTATTTGGAAACAAAKCCCTATCAAATGTTTAAGTAAAGTGTATTTTTCTTAGCAAACCTAGGATTCATGTGATTTTCAATGTTGAAGTAGAACACTTTCTGTGCACGTACATTGTTATGAATGCAGTATCTTCAGCTACATTTTACATGTCCTTTTAATGCAGTTGGAACTCTTATTACTTATTCCTCATGATTTTACTTCTTTTAATTGAAAGAATTATYAAAATTTTATAGGAACATGTGATAGGTGGTTCTACACAGTTCAGCTAGAGAAAGTTTCTAGTATTTGTCTTCTGTTTCAAGCAGTATATTTTTCTCTGTGCACACTTGTTAAATGATTCTCTGGATTGTCATTGTMATTTGGTTTACAAGCATGCCTTTGGATGCAACTACAAACTTATGTTTCTATCAGTCCTGCCATTTCCATTATTTAAAAGAGGATTTTCAACTGCACCAAGTACTAGCTCCACTTAAAATTTTATCTTTTACACAATTCACTCTTTCATTCCAAATAATCTGTGTAACAGCTTGGCCATAATTTCCTTCTAATATTRTATGCCCTGTGAAAGGATATGAATATCATATTTCTTTCACTGGAGTTCTTAATAATTCTACCATGAATTATTGCATTTTCATATGTCCACATTCCACATTCATTGTTTCTTAACATAGCTATTTTTCTACTTTTAAATAAAATAAATGTTATTTAAATGCACAGCTGCTATGAAAACCTTCTGCCATTTTTGGATGAAACAATTATTTCTCACAATTTTTCAGTCTCAAGGTTGAGAGGGTGATGCCGTATCGAAGACTGTACTCTAAGCACACAGTGAGAACAGCACAGTTTTATTGTMAACCCTGCCTGGCACATACCACTGTTAATATATGCATGTGAAGAAAAGAATCTAAGAGTAGATTCTGTTTCAAGTCATTCTCTGATACTTGCAAGACCTCCCTTCCAGAAATTATTAAAGAAGAGCCAAGATTTAGCAGAGAACTAAACAGTCTTGAAGAGAGACATGCTTTAGATCCAAAATTAGGCTTGTAGGACAGCAAATTTATAGGAGGAAACTTGAGACTAACACTGTTGGGGGAGCTTTAGCAAGTAGGAACAGCTCTTCAGTTTTTCTCTTTCATGCTCCATTTTTCTTCCACGTGGTTCTTCAGCATATTACTGCTATTACTGCTATTTTAGACATTTTTTTTTTCTCAGTAGACTTTGTAAGTATTGTTTTAGACTTCGGGGAAAATGTTCAGCTTCATGCTTTTTTTCATGTCTTATCATAGTCTCTTATAGGCATCTGTGCACAGGAACTGTGTCTGAATTCTGTCTTTGACACACAGACCAAATGGATTAGCAGCCATACAGTATAAAATGTTCAATTCATATTCTCCTTTTAATATTTTATCAAGTCATCTCAGAGTATGCAGAAGGCTAACTGCCAGAATTGGAACCACGAGAAAGTCAGGACACTCTCTGTGTTACAATTGCTGAGGACAAGAAAAAGCTTCCCTCTCACTAATTTACTGTGACRTTTTTACAGTTCAGCCAAAAGCTCAGTCCATTGGTTCCACTTGTAAGGCTTCACTGAATGTCAATGCTTTCATTTAGGGTTAAAACCTGAAGTCATTGAGAATGATTTTAACTCACTATATGATTCACAGTCTCTGCAAAAGTCACATAGTTAACAGGTACCTGAGCAGGAAAGGAATATTCTGACAATCTTCTGCCAAAACCCCTTCCCAATTGGTTCCCTACTGAAAGCTTAAATGTAGCTGAATTTTTGTTAAACTGTTAAAGGCTGGTGAATACATTGAACATCATGCTGCAATAGATATTGCTCTTTTCCACACAAAGCTGAGGCAATATTTCTGTCAAATTAATTTTTTCTTAGTTTTAACTTCCAGTACAGAAAATTCCTGATACTGCAGACTCCAGCTATCAAACAATGATAAGGTGTTACATCCAAACTCTTGAGAAAATCCTCTTAGTAATGTATGTTGAAATAAATCAAAATCCATAGAGAATTAGTTCTTTTTTTTCTTCTTATGACACAATTCACTTTACAATACTGCTTCAGGGRAAAGCAATATATAAATAGGTATTGAGTCCTTTATCTTACATAATTTTAGGCAACACTGACACCATAAATGAGATTCATTTAAGGTTGCTGCAACTTCCTTTATGGTTAGTCAAGACTTCCTTAACTGTAATAGAGAAAAATAGATCCTTGTCAAGTGCAATTTCTCTGATCACAAAGCAGACATCTAAAATGCATGAGCTGAATTGGGCAATCTAGACAAAATGCTGTTATACAGACATATACACAGACATCTACATGTGATGAGGGTCAACCCATCACATGCAACTTATTTTCTTCTCAGGAATGTGGTTCTTCCTCTACAAACTTCTGCCTTCTCTTTATCATTATTGTTTGCATCTACACTTCAGCATTGGGTTTGCAATCTATAGGGAAGTCAGATTTTACAAAGCCCGGAAAAATTTTGTTTCAGAATGGTTTTTATGTTGAATGTGTCCCAGTGGTATGTGAATGAATTTTTTTTATTTTAATCTCACTTCCACACTGGAAAGTTCTTTTTAATTATGTAAAGATCAGGATACATCTTGCTGTCTTTTCTATTTTTATTTACAAAAAAAGACTTCTTTAAACAGTAATTGTTATTTGTACAAGATTATCATAATTTCTCCTCTCCAGAAGATTTCTAGCTTGTGTCATTGAAGAAAAGAATATGACTAACCTTTGGTTCTGTTCCCTAAAGCTGTTTCTCCTTTTCCCCAAAGTTTGCATATTGCCTTATTTTTTAAATTCTTTCTATTTTTGTTTAATTTTAGAAAGACCATTTCTTAAAATTCCATCATATATTATAATTTAATTGGTGTAATAATCAGGGGACCTATACCTTCTACATAAAATAGCATGACAGCAGCATTGGAAGAATGGTGCTTACAGTGTGAAGAAGAAGGTTCTCTTACCACTACTGTTAAATCAGTAAGACACAAAGCAAAGGTTACAACCACCAGTATGTYATCCAAATTACCCATGAAGCCATGAGTCCAAGAGAAATTTTATGTTCATATGTGTTGAATAATATTTTCTTCTTTTAATGGGGCCATAAATTGAAAAAACCTTGAGTCTTGAGTCTAAAGTAAAGGGTTACTAAAAATCATGAAAGCCCCCACCATTTCTACTTTTAGAAGCAGAAATTATATCCTCTGAGGAGCAAATTCCCAATAGTAATTATTCTATTTTTCTGATTTATAGTCTATATAATTGCATTCACCAAAAAATTTTGTTGAAATATTGCAGTATTTAGCTTTTCTAGTATTATGATACTATCTACGAACATCTTTAGATGCTTTAGGARTCCACACATTCTATCCTTAGTTTCATATATTATATAATTATATATGACAAAGTAATAGATGGAGATGCGTGTCATGTGGAAGTTGAAAAGTAAAATTGACATGCAAAACTATGCTTTGAATCTGTATAAATGTATGTCCTACATCACTCATGGTGTATGTTCCTTGTAGTTGATTCTATAAAGTAAAAGTAGGCACTGATGATACTTTGGTACTTCAGGCTTTATTATTTCCTCTCRTAGCTCTATGTCACTGTATAGCACTGTAACAAAAACACTTCTATAATTCTTCTTGTGTTGAAGGACTGATGTGGTCTACTATCTTTCATTATCCAATGCCACAMAAATTTAATTCATATTTTTGAATTGACTCAGAACAAAAACTTACATTAGACCTGCCCATGCTTCACTGTGGAACAGAATTTTTAAGCTGCAGTGCTGTAAATCTAGCAACCCTTTTCATTAATCTTGAAATACCTCAAAGCAGAATGAATTTACTAATTAATAAGGGGACAGCTTGCAGTTACACCTCCACCTTTTCCTCCTTCTGCATTACACTTTTCAGAAAAAATTAAATGAGGGAAATATTCTTCCTCACTACAAAACTTTTGTTGCTTCTTCCCAACAAACAGCTCTTTAGAAGGTCTAATCAGGAATATGCCATGTCCTTCCCTTTCCTCAGAATCTCTAGTATGATAGTTTTACTGCCACCTCACAATCTCAGCTTGCAGACCTCCTTCTTATCTCTGAATCAGAAACACAGCAAGTGTATACCAGGGAAGAGAGAAGTTCATATTCTTTAAAACCATGGTAAACCAAATGTTGTTCACAATCAGTGTGTTAAGATTGGTGCAGGATGCGAAGGAAAACAGTTTTGTGTGACTTTTGATTGGATTTTTTGTGTGAGATTTGATTTCACTGTTCTTTGTGTGCTCTACAAAGTTACCATTAACTTCATTAAAAACTCCTRTGTAACTTATATTTCTTATCCTCTCAGATACCAAAAAAATACATCGGCTGATGTTCTAGATACTATTACCAATATTCAGCCTAAAGAAAGTGGTGGAGGAACTGGAGAAACTCGTGAAGCAGTCGTTTATCGTTCAGCTGAAGACATGCTAGAGAAACTTCCTCCTGATTACGTACCTCATGAGGTAAGCTAATATTAGTCTTGTCTTATTGTTCTCCCTGTTGAGTTTTCACATTACACTTTCCAAAAAATAAGCACTGAACTGTATGAAAGATCATATAGCTAGGAGCAGATTSAAGTAAGAAGCCAACAACATTATTGCTACCAGCATGAATTGATATGAATTTTTTTTATTTAAAATCAAGACATCTAACAACTGGTCACAGAGAGATCTCATGGAGACTATTCTTGGACTTCCAAAGCTACTTGTGAAAATAGAAAAAATCAGTCTTGACATTTTGTGATAGCAGTCTCCTGGGTCTTCTGGGCCAAGTCCTGTTCTAGCAAAATCATGAATAATTGGGTAGTATCAGACAAAAAAAAGAAACACTACAACAGTTTTAAGGGGATGTTATTTGAATAATATACAAATCTAATATTTACTGTTTTGAACACATGGAAAGTTAAGATGTTGTATACTACAACAGCATTTAATCAACTTAGAGKTAACTAAATTCCTTCTGTGCTTTTACATTTTAGGTAAAGGCTCGTTTAGTTAAAATGGGAGCACTTAATTCCATGAATATTTTCCTTCGTCAAGAAATTGACCGCATGCAGAGGGTGATCACCATTGTCCGCACCAGTCTGATTGATCTGAAATTGGCCATAGATGGAACTATTGTTATGAGTGAGGCAAGTAACGTATATTTACTACATATGAAATATTGCACTTTAAACTATTAAATTGATTGATTTACTTTGAATATGATTTGATTCCTTCAGAATTTAAGAGATGCACTTGATAACATGTATGATGCTCGAATCCCTCAAGTATGGAAAAGAGTATCTTGGGAGTCTTCCACACTTGGCTTCTGGTTTACTGAACTTTTGGATAGAAATGCTCAATTATTTGCATGGATATTTCAAGGAAGACCAAGGGTATTTTGGATCACTGGATTCTTTAATCCRCAAGGTAAGGTTACTGAAAAGACCTGAGCAGTAATGTATTGAATTAAATAATAATTTAATGATTATACTGCCAGAATATGTCACAGAAGCCAAGATGATAAATGTGTTCAATGTGCACTCACAGTCCAGAAAGCCAAACCTGTACCTGGCTGCATCGAATGTAGGGTGGTCAGCAGGACAAGAGAGGTGATTTTGCCCCCTCTGCTCTGGTGGAACCCCACCTGGAGTGCTGCATCCAGTTCTGGAGCCACACTCATGGTGGTGCAAAAGAAGATAATGGACCACATTCTTTTGACAAAAGAAAACATCTAGCCTAACAGCCAACACACCTGAGACACAGATGGTCTTGAACTTTAGAATTGCTTCAAGGTCCGTGTTCAAAAAAAAAGTAATCCTGCAGCTAGAGAGAGGTTTGCTAAGTGCAAAATGTGGGCTGTGGGTAGGGGTGAGGTGCATATGTTTGTAATACTACKCTCTATTTGTAATACTGCTCACCAGGAAATTCACTATTAAGTATGGTGTTCTCTGTGTTAACTACTCTTTCCTTGTCTCAATCTCTATGGCAACTCCAAGTAGTTCACCTAGTAGCATATCAAGCAGGTATCAATTTTTTGATGACTTCATTGCTATCTTCTGACATACTTACATGGAAATAACCAGGTATTTGCAACTAGTGTTTCTATTTTTGTAGCTTTTTCCTYTATAATTCAGTCAAACCTCTTAGCTGCTCAATCATCTGTGCTTAAACTATTCAGCCCTTTGCATTTCAAACCTTTTTTATTTCAAACCTCTGTAACATCTGTTCAAAACAGTACTCAAAAAATCACCTAACTTGCTGCTCAGTTACATCATCCTCTACCTTYATTTCTGTCTAGGACTCCCTTTTTCCCTAACAAAAAATACATTTTTCATTCTTCATAGGTGCTGCATTGACTAGAATCCCTACACTCATATATGTTATTTAATTATCATATTCAGACACGTATTTTCTGTTTTCCATCAATGAAATTCATTCTACTTATTTAATTTAAAATGCTTCCACCTTTTATCTAGGTGGAACATAGATAAATATCAGCTCACACAATGGATAACTTGCCTTGAAATTTTGAAAGACACCTCTATCATGGATCCWGTAGTTTATTGCTTAATGATTGTTTGTAAGTCAGTGTCCTGAACAAATATTTCTTAACAGACTAATTTAATATGAAAAAAAAAGTACATGCCATTTAAAAATATTTTTCTCCATGTAATGGATACAATGCCACTTTTGTCATTTGTTCCTATTTTGGTCCCAAAGCAAAGTTTGCTATCAGCAAAGTCTGCTGTTAGTCAGGATGCTCATTTTCAATAGAACTGCAATTATCTGTCTGTAAGTTCAGTGCAGAATGCTGCTAATAACTGAGCAAGATTTTATCATGTGAGATAAATACTAAATGTGTGACCTAATTTCTCAAGGATTCCTGACAGCAATGAAACAAGAAGCCACTCGAGCACATAAAGACTGGGCTTTAGATAAAGTTGCAGTACATAATGAAGTGCTAAAGCTAAACAGAGAAGAAATCACATCATCACCTTCTGTATGTATAGCATGCAAAGAAGTTTCAGTATTAATTTTGGCATTTATTTTATATTATATATCATTGAGTTATTTTGGATTGATAGAGGAAAAAATTACTAATGTCTTCACCTTAATGTTTTTGCTCAGTATGGAAGACAAATACTAAGTATGAAGATTTTAATTTTTCAAGTTAATTTAATCAAAACAAACAATTTCATTTTGCCACCTGTTTATTTTTAGAATTTATAGTAAACTTAAGATGAAACTTTGTAATGTATTGACTTTACTAAACAACTTTTCTTGCCATCCATTTCAGTAGAATTATCTTCTGAAAAAGGATTATATTAAAGTTTAAAATTAAATAATTTTCAGAGATTCAATGTCAGATTTTTTTACTATAAAACATACATTCCTCTTTTAAGAGTTTAAGATAATTATGAATGCTTTATATGTTGTGATGTATCTGCTTTCCCTTCACACAGGAAGGAGTATATATCTACGGGCTCTACCTGGAAGGTGCAGGCTGGGACAAACGAAGAAGCATACTTGTTGAGTCTTCACCAAAGATTCTCTTTGTCCAGCTRCCTGTGCTCCATATGTATGCTGTTGATTCAAGCAGACCTAGGGATTCCAAACTCTATGTTTGTCCTCTTTACAAAAAGCCCAAGAGGACAGATTTGAACTTTATTACAGAGATCTATTTGAAGACAGCAAAGTCTCCAGACCACTGGATTCTTAGAGGAGTGGCTCTTCTGTGTGACATCAAGTAAGCTGCTTTTCCTACTATGGCAGAAGGGAAATGTATGGCACATGTAGCGAATTACATGTGTAATTCTTCCACYGCTCATTATTTAGTGGCTACTCGTTACACTTGAAATTGCATTTCAGCCTTGGCTTAATGATTTTTTTTTTCTCTGCTTTCAGTAAATTCAGTTTGCCTTGGCTGTTTGTTGGTAGTTCTAAAGTAAAGCTTTCCAAACAAGTTCACTGCTTGTAGTCTTAGAAGTTTGCATTGTATTACTTTAAAATGAATCTTTGCTTTAATAGTGCAATTAATGTCAAATAAAATGTTATTAAACCTTAAAAAAGGAAAAACTTTGCTTTTTCACATTCTTTCACATGTACAACTTTTAGCTTGTTTCAGTAATACATTATGACAACAGAAGAAATTTATAGTCTCCTAGATACAGGTTTAAATTCCTAGATTCTGCATGATAAACATATTATTTTGAGTCTGCAGGAAACTGTAGAATAGAAAAATACGTTTCATCCATATTTTTTGCTTGGGCTTTCTCAGAGCTCAGTTGCTCTTGTTAAACTATCTAGATTAAGCAAAACTACACCAGGAATGTTTATCTGGAATATCTGACAGAGACCAGTATGTTCTCTGTTCAGTTTAGTTGTGTTGGAACAGAAGTAGAACAGTTCCAACTACTTAATATGGATTTTTTTTTTAATCAGTAAAAGATTATTTACAAGGACAATTATTTTGTTTGCATTTCATTTTAGCTCTAAAGTACAGATTGCAATCCCTGAAATTACTATCACAGCATTATTCTGCGATGATACCCATGAATATCCTAACCATGAGTTTTCCAAACATAACTAGTATTAAACTAATTCTATTCATGTAATGCTAAACAAGATATGCAGTCTAAACTGCCTCTTTAATAATCTGCATAAAGTTTCTTCCTTCAGATGCCTTTAGTTGGCAACAGTTCTTCACTTACACCCCATGACTGGACCATGTTCTTCCTTTTGCCATTGAAGTGTTCAAAAGCATCTACTGTGGCAAGTGCACAAAGTCCTGGACATCTACTGGGGTGATAAAAAGCCCTTCCTTGAGACAGAGTCCTATGGCTCTCTGTTGGAGGTCACCATTGCAGGAAATAACAACACATAGACACTAACATGAGCAGAGTAACAAAAAGTAAGATCGCCAAATGCAATTAAGTAAAAATGTTTCTCTCTTCTCTATAGATTTACTTACATTCAAAWACAAGAAATCAGCTGGTGTTGGATAATTATACAATTTCTCTGTATTTTTAATAGAACAGAACTACATCAGCAAAAAAGTAAAAAAAAAAAAATCTGCCTTTGCAAATGCAAGAGATTTTTCTCCAAGTAATCACAATATTGATGATAGAACTTGTGGTGGGTAGMCAAGCAGCTAAGCACCCAGTTGCTTGCCCTGCTCTGCCCAAGCAGAATGGGGCAAAGAATTGCAAGATTAGAAGCTGAAAACCTGGGGGTCAAGATGAAGACAGTTTAATAAGTGAAGCAAAGCTGCACACACAAGCAAATTGAATTCAGGAATTTAKTTACTGCTTCCCACTGGCAGGCAGATGTTTAGCCACTTTCTGGGAAGAGCCTCAGTACATATAATTATTACTTGGTAAGACAGATTCAACAACAACAAATGTCCCCCATCCTATTTYTTTCCTCAAGTCTTTGGTGCTGAGCACAACATCATATTGTATGGAATATCCCTTTGGATAGTTTGGGTCAGTTGCCCTGGCTTTATCTTCTCCCATGTTCTTGCCCACATTCAGTCTACTCACTGCAGAGGCAGAGGGGACAAAAAGTTAATATCCAAAAACCAGCACAAAACCTGTAATTTCTAAAGGGTTTTCTCCTGATCTAGTCTTTTGGCTGAATTACAATGGAGAAACAATGCGTAACCTTGAATGTCTCCACAGGTGGAAGATGTGCGCTGACACATTTACAAGTGAAAATCTATACAAGAAAATAGCAGGGAAAGTGCAAATTAATGTGCTGAATTACACAACTTACACTAAAGATGATTTTATTCTCCATCCAGTATAATACAAGAACAGAGATGAATAGCATATTGTTATCTCAGCTGTATCACATATTGCCTCAGATTCTTGAGAGCTTCTCTTTCTTCTGTTTGCCAGAGTMCAATCCTTATTCCCCATCCTCTCTGTGGCTGTCTAGGGGTTTGTTGMATTCTCTTTCCTCAATATCATGCATTAGTTCACTACTTTCAGGTTACAKTGAATGTTAATTTTCATATAGATTTCCAGTTAATTTATGGAACTAATCTAAGTTTTGTGACAACAGCAATCTACTGTGTATTCAGAAGGCTCTTTTTAATGTCTGCATGCTTTAAAAATATTTATGAAGTGTTTTTATGTCCTGGTCATATGTGGAATAGTCTAAATTTGTTTACAACCAGCTCTTCAAACATCTAAAGAGATGCAGTTAATTATTTGAACCACAAGTCATTCCTCCCAGCTGTCACAATCCATAGCAATTTAAGATCTCAATTCAAGACTTTTCACTCCCAGGAATCCTCCATACCTTCAGGATATGGTAATAAGCATTCAAATTCCTAAATTAACTCTAACACMGTTTGTTGGGTTTTTTAAAGTAATTAACAAAGTTACTCTCTGAAATTTTTAATGCTTATTTGCCATTCAAGCTGCTGCTGTCCAAGTTGTGAGACAGTATTGTGGTGYGTGAACTGACAAAGAAAGGAATACCATGACAGCAAAACACTAATATTTAACAGATGATAAAAAAAAGAGAAGTACTTGAAATATGACATTTAACTAGTCTCTAGGAGAGAAGACCTGACTCATGAAGATGTTTGAGAATGTAAAAAAGAACATGTCCAGCATTAACTTAGATGGTGCATCCACGGTGTGTATTCTTATTTCCTCCCTTGGTGGAATTGTTACCCAGAAGAATTTTCCTGCCCATTTACTCTGAATTTTGGAGGTAAACCAAGCCAGTGAGACAGGCTTCTATTTTCTTCCTGCTGCTTTAGAGCAGACTCCTTAATTGGGAGTCATTGATCCGCTGGTATGTCAAGATACTTTTCACAGAACTTTTTCGTCTTAGGTGATGTTTCATGAGAAGTCTGCAGCTTGGCTGTGTGATGAGGTTTTATGTGACAATGGCTAAGAATTAATAAAAACTATGGAAAAGAGCTTGYAAATGGCAGGAAGGGGAGGATTTGTTTTCTGGTCAGGTTTCTAAATCTCACAGAACCACTGACTGGAATGAGCTTGTTCCAAGAAAGTAACATTTCAGCAAAGTTTTCACTTGGGTGGAATAATTTTCTTCATCTATACCCTCTGTTTCTGCCTCTAGATTCTGGTCAGTTGTAGCTAAAATGTGTTCAGTATATTCATACTTTATAGAAAGACCTACTGTTTTCTTATTCAATAACCTCATTCATTGACTATGCCTATTCTTAATATTTAAACTAATTCATTATTTTTGACAGTCTGGAAGAACATCTGGCAGCAGTATGTAAGTACATTCCTGTTGACACAAATACTCAAAATCAAATGTATGGAATGTGCAAGCTGAGGTTTAAGTATATTGATGTTTCTGCTAATTTTTCAATATTTGAGTGTAACTGCATTGCTATGACAAGTCTCTCAGATTTCTTCAGAAGCCACTGCTATTATTAATACTCCTATTCTTCACTAATACTACAGCAAACATTGTAGGAGTTGGTACCTGCATCTGCACCACACAAGCAGGGTATTTCTGAGGTAAGTCTAGTTTTATAAAAGCCAAAAACTCATGTCTTTTCTGGTGATTAACACTGCCTTCAGAGCACTAAGAACCATGCATACATTAACCCTTAGAAATTCAGGAAGACTATTYTTTAACTTAGCAATGATCCATGACAAAGGTCAAATCCAGAAACAGACTTTGAAACAAGAAATACCGTGTGATTCTAATATAGCAGATATTAGGATAGGGAAATAAGGCACTGCTAACATGTCTGACTTATTTCTAGGCCMCTTTATTTCCATCATAATTTCTCTTTTTTTTCCTTATATTTATATGCTGATAAAATCATTGGGGACACCTGAATAGTCTCTGACTTACTGTGTTGAATATTTAATAAAGGAATGACTCACCCAAGGTTTTAGTTAGACGAAAAGGAATTCAGGAATATCCAGGAATACAAGACCCAATTTAGCCAATTTCCATTATCTTCCCATTCTCAGATATCAAAAAGGATTAATGGTTGCATTCTGACAGTTAAAAAGTTAATTTTTTTAGGACTTTAATTCTTATCTTGCTGTTAGATCTTAAAATTTGCCTTGTATTTTTCTATGGTTTTTTATGAAGCAAGATACTGTTTGTTCACACCATTCCTGTGAGGTTTAGTCTTTATCAAAATTATTTTATTGTTTTTCATAAATACTGAGATCTCATCCAAAAKTCATCCTTCATATCAGTGCCAACATTTACTTTAATTAACATACAGTTATCAGTATTTTCCTCCTAAGTCCCATTCGGCTCCAGGGAGATGTGATTCTGCTTTCTGGATATTAGGAAAATGCTACCTTTTATTATTTTCAGGACAAAATATCATGCCTAAAGTCAAAGAATTTCCTCTCTCACTCCTTGCCTTTACCCTAGCCCTGTCCGCACTCCTGGACTTTCCTTGTGGATCTGCAGCTTCAAATATCTTACAATACCAACAGACTGACTCCTTCAATTCACCTTACGCTTCATTTTCCCAGGCAAACATGGCAGGATGTCTTATCAGGTGAAGTGTCTGCAGCTTCCTGCATAGATTCACTCCTCAGTTGTTCCTCCTACCAGTGTTTATATCTTTGTGTTTGATTATCAGATTAGTCAAATTGTTGTTCAAGAGGTTGGCTGAGTAAAACTCCAAATATTAATTTCTCAAAGTCTGCTGGCTAATCACCAAAGTGGGATTTCTTTGAACAGACCCTCAGAGACAGAATGACCATTTGCCTTACAGACAGGGTAATTCAGAGAGCCGCATTGAACAGGTAACTGCCCTTTGTCCTTGCACCCTCAAATGACCTGTGAGCAGGCTGCTGTACAGCAGTGCAAATGAAGGAGGGCTAGGGTCACCCTCTCTTTTTTGGGGGGTACAATGCAACAAGCTAGAGCCTCAAAGATGCTGTGATTAGCAGTCTGTGATCTTCTCACTGAGTGCAAAATGTCAAACTGCTGTAATGTAAATGGGCATGTAAATGCAAATGGAAACCATTAAACCTGCATAATTACAATCTAGAGAATTTAAAGCGTACCCTTCTCTCTCTTTAGTCATACCATGATAACACATGGTAATTCCAACAGGTTACAAATCTCACTCATTCATGTGGGGAATATTTTGTTAGGAAATGCTAGACTGTAAAGTTTTATTTGTCCAGAGACACATCCTGTCCCTCTTCAAAGGATATTTTTCTCAAAAATCCATTTAGATACTGCAAACAAGCAACCAAATGCTTGTCTCAGACTTTGGGGAGCATTTTACTGAGGGGATACCAAGGCATCTAGCAGCACAGTAGACAGAAGTTCTCTCTGTGGAAATGACCAGTATTAGATCATGGCACAAGGTGTGTATCAAACTGTACAAGGAAGTTTTCCTCTTCTGTACTGAGGTCTCCCTTAGAGGGAAAAYATTGAATGCAGTGATTTCTAAATAATTTCCTCATAGAAAAAAAAAAAAAGCCACCACAATGAAAGAGGGAGATGGGAGAGTAATAGTTCAGTCAATTTTACTTAATAAAGTTGACTTATCTTTTCTTCCTTTGTTCTGTGAGTCACTGCTTCCTATTTTCTTGTAAAAAATGAGRACAGAAATTGAATTCTTTGCTGAGAATTTCTTACCATMATTTTCTTCTATTAGTTCATCCAAGCAGCCTTATATAATCCAAAATACAATTCTTAACAAATTTCTTTGAACAGGTGTTTTTAATCAGGAAATTCTAAATAGGAGTTAGGTATTTTGGTGAGAAATTCAAACACTAATAATAATGTTCTTTTTATTATAGTACAAGACAAGTGTTGACATTTCTATAATGCTAAGATTCTTAAATAGAGGAATGGCCGGGTCATATTCACAAATTAACACAGAATCATATGAATACTTCAACAACATTTGAAGGAAAATATTTAAATCAATTTATTCTTTATAAGATAGAGAATTGTACTGTATTGAAATGAAATATCTATCTAAATCATTCCCTCCATACAATCATTACACAGAATAAATTCCCCAAAGCAACTAGACTCCAAAAGTAGATACAACTATTTCAGTTCATTATGTAGTTTACAAAACTTCAGTTAAAAAAAAATTATATTTGCATTCTTTGTTGTCATCAAGAAATGTATAGCCCAAAGTGTATAAGCTATACTGTCTGGCAGCTGAAAAATGGAACTGTCCATTACATACAACCARGCTCTCATGTCTGGAAAAACAATATATAGCTCCAAGACAAGATGTTCTTTCTAAATACCAATGTGCTGTAACACATGTATTTGTAACTCTCCTTTGCATAATCCTGCTCAGAGACACTTTTTTTTTCCCTAGGAGGCCTACAGAAGGRTTCAGCTTAGATAAACTTTGATTTCAGTTTAGTAGGTACTGATATGAATTACAACTCTACAAACACCACTCAAATTCAATGATACAACACTAAAATCCTACTTCCTTTCCTAAGCCCATTTTTCAAATTTCTAAATTATTTAGTTGAGTTACTTCATGGATGCTAGTTCTCAGCTCAGACACTTTAGCTTTTACTGAGCTTGGAAGGATCTTTACTGAAAGTTCCTCTTAGCTTTGTAGTGGAAAAAATGAGCCAAAGCACATTCACTGCTGCAGAACACTACAGGTACAGAACACAACAGCAAATGGCTCTTGTTTTTCAGSCACTTGGACAACATTTGCACAACCATTGTACAGGGCAGCCACTCTCTCTAGTTTTTATTCAAATCCCGAGTCTAGGAAAACACTTATTTCTCCAAATGTCTGCAACCCTGTACCCTTCAACTTTACATACACGTGTACAAGGTAGAAAGGAATAAAATTTCACTAAGAGTTTAGATCTATTTGCACTGAGATCCAACAGTATGTCTCTTTCTCAAACAAACTTATTATGAAAGATGATGTTTATAAAAGCTAGTAGTTACTGGTCATGGAGAAGTATGAAGTGTATACCTTGCAGCTGAAACTGATAACATTCCTMAGGATACTGTCTATGGCAGCTTAGGAAAACGATTGCTAGTCAGCAAATACCACAGCAGAAACATGCAATTTCTCCATGACACAGATTTTCCCCTTCAGAAAGTTTCAGAGACAAAGCATTCAGTCTCTCATGGGACAGGGATGTTACATCCTGCATGTGCAAGACCAGTGGTGATAGTTTTTAGATAGCAGAGACCAAACCCTTGTGAAGGCTTTGTCTCTTGCCTGCAGTTTTGTTTATGCTGTCTCCACAGGATGGGATTATCAGGGAAAATTACTGAAAGAGAGACTGAACTCTTTCAAAATGCAGTTGTGTCCTCAAAACATAGTCAATTGCATTAAGAATGCTTTAATGGTCATAGAAGTATGATAATTCCTGYGTTGCAGTGTAACTTCAAGGCAGTTCCTCCTTAATACATGAGAGTCTGGTCCAGCTGGAAGGTAAAGGAACAAGAAGGCAGTTACAAAGTCCTGCATGTTAAATAGCATCTGCAGTCCTTCAGCTACAGAAAAAAAAGTGCTTGCCTCAACAAACAAAATTCTGAAGTTGAACAAAGCTTCATCAACTCATTGCATTGTATTTTTCAAATGGAAAGGATCCCAGCTCCTTTCAAATTTGGTATTGTGATTTTAATGATTYGCTTGGCTACTTTCAAACTGTTCTTTTCTTGCATAAACACTGATAAGAGATCAAGTTAAATTTTAGTATTAATAAAAACATGAATAAAATATAAAAAATCCAGCAAACCCAGGTTTGAGAGGCAACTTTCAACTGTATTTCCCCACCAAAAAAAAAAATTCATTTATTGAATAAATACCTTTCCATCTCTAGGAAAATGACCTGTCTTTTAATGCAGTAATTTAAGTCAACAGGATTTGTTCAGTTTTCTGAGATTTGATAATAACTTCTTAATGGACACCGTGAAAATGTACCTGTTTAGAGTTTACTCTGATCCACTTTGGTTTTTTCTTTTATTCATGCAGATGGCACTAGTGTATGTGTTAAAAGTACAGAAATGCAGAAAGAAAACAAACTCCTTTTTGCACCAGCTGGTCCTCAGAGGTCAGAGGGTGTGGGTGCAGCTGGGATTGATTTCTGGTTATAACCACCCTAGTCTGGTCACRTTCAACAGGAACTTCCACGAGCACATATTCACAAATACTGCAGTTTCAACACTGTAGATCTGGTTGTTTTCAATAAAAACTTGTGCAATCACAGATCCACGAATAGTGCAGTCTGGTGAAACAACAAAAATAATATTGAGAACTGAGGTTCATAAATGCACTTGCTGAAACAAGAGATATAATAGTAGTAGTAATAATAATAATAATAATAATAATAATAATAATAATAATAATAATAATAATAATAATAATAATTGTATGCAGAAGCTTACCAGAAAAGGCATCCTTGCTTGGGAAGACGGAGAAGAGAGGAGACAAGAGTAGCCCATCAACTGTCTCCAAGGTCCTTGTCGGTCTTCTTCCTAACTAGGTGACATTTCTATCCTGCTTGTATACAAGCCCAATCTTACACCCCTTCTCCTCCTTATGTATAGCATGATCTAAGGAGAGAATTGAGTAACACAGTCGTGTATGTAGTAGCATGTATTTCATSSWRCTTAACAGCATATGTATTTGAATATTTACATGTCCCTTAWTTAGGCAAAAGTGCCTTTTTTGGCCATGGTGTCCATCAAAGTTCTGGTTAAATGACTTTTTCCATTCTGTGTGTTCATTACAGACTAAACAGAACCATCCTATCTCCACAACACCTCCTCCTTTGGCCAACTCATCCTTTCTTGATGTCAGCCATGCAGCTCTCCATTCACAAAGATAACATAGAGGGTACACAGTGTAAGCTGTGATAGTTAAGCCTTAGTCCTTGCCTGGCTGCTTGGTCATCATCCCCTGGCATGATGTCCTCATGCCTGAAGAGATCCCTTTGATTATTTCTGGAAAGCAGAGTTACTCTCCAAAGTAAAATTCCTGCTTCCAACAGGATACATCTCATCATCATAGACCTGATGAGGCTTTTCAAAAGAGACATGAACCTACCAAGGTCTTGCAAAAGCAGCTCGCCCTGTGCTGCACAMAGGCACTGGGAGTCATCTCGAGTTAAGTTGTAACTGGAAAACTTAATGAGCCTGGTGCACAAACAACAGAGAGCAGTAAAGGTTAGCATGTGAAATAGGTGCACTATGCTAAGGCTGGCAGTGCAATCCAGCTGTAAGAGGTTTCTTTCTCTTTAAAGGTTTTTTTCACCTGGTATGAAGGGAGCAATATTTTTTTTTAAAATATTTTCTCTTATTTTAGTAGAGTTGAAGGAACTATCTTTTCAATCTTCAGTCAACCAAACCACCATGGCAAATTCTTTCTGCCTGGAGTTAGATCTTGAGATGTAAGCAATGCCCTGGCAATTCACACGCTGATGAATTTCATGTTTTCATGATCTCACAGCATCGATGCTGTGACTAGTTACATTTCCAAAGCAACAGACCGATGCTGTGTTGTATTTGAAATTAATACACACCATTAATATTTAAACTATTAACTTTTTTGTATTCCAGCTGCATCTAACAGACCACKGTGAAATATTTTTCCCACTTCCTGGTTCAATTTTGAACTTTCCTTCTAACTCTGATGGCTTTGTATGCTTTCTTCTTCCAGATTCTGGTGTAGAATGTGACCAAATATAGGTGATTTAGTGCAGGGTTAGTTGTACTAGCCAGCACAAGTTCAATAAATAAGAACAGTATTATGATTCGAGCATAAAGCAGATTAAAATCTTTCTTTTGCTAGGAAAATTAGTATTCTAAATCCTCCAGATTTACGCATYATACTACCACTGGGACTGACCTGTGCTCCGTCTTCAACTCAGAAACCAAGCTCCGATCGTGCAGAGCGTGCAGCTCTGCAAATTCACGCTATAAACGGATAATTGCATTCACTATTATTAAACSTAATAAGACTCGAACATCGCAAACAGCATGAAGGCCACCAAGATGCCCAAGCCCGAACAGAATTCAGAGTAAAATAAAAGAAGAAGTTGAAAAGGTGGAGGACGGGATCGCAAAGACGCTTCCTGGGTTTTTTTTTTCCTTTTCTCTCCTTTCCTTYCCYTCCCCTCCCCGACCCAACCCAGCCCAGCCCAGCCCTTGTCGCTGCCGCCTCCCCACACCCGCCGGTCCGCCCGCGGAGCGACCGCCACTCGCAGCGAGTCCCCGTGTCCGCCGGGTGGGGCCGGGCTGTACCTGGGCCGGCCCCTCCCCGCCTCCTCTGCCGCTACTAAAGGGGCCGCCGGAGTGCCCGSTGTGTTCGCCGCTGCTCCGCTGTGCCCGCCGCGGAGCCTCGGCGGGGAGCGGGAGCCGGAGCCTTGCCGGGCCCCCGCGCATGGGGGGCCGCCCCCGGACATGCCCTTCTCGCCGCTCGGCTTCGCTGTCCTGCTGCTGGCGGCTGCGGGAAGGTCGCTCCCGGTGAGGCGGGTGAGTGCCGTGGCGGGGCCGGAGCCGCTGAGCGCGGGGGCTGCGCGGTGCYGCCCGGGCCCTGCCCCGCGGGGCTTCTCCGGCCCGGCGCCCTGAGGGACCCCCTTACCCCGCAGGAGCYGCGCTTCGCCGCGCTTCTCCCCTAGCTGCGGGTCCGGGCGCACCTCGCAGAGAAGTCAGAAGTTGAAGCCCATCACTTTTTGGGCGCCCACGCCAACAGTTGCGGCACAAGCGGGGGACGGCGGGTCCGTGCTGGGTCCCGCGTGTGAGGCGGGGGTGTGGGCGGGCGGCTGTGGGCTCGGGGCGAGCGGGGGGAGCGAAGGAGCGGAGACGCTGCTGCTGTGAGGGCATTGCCCTCGAGGTAACGCTCCCCCCGGCACCCACAGGAAATAACACGCGTGTCTGTAATGGAAAACAAACATAGTGCCGTGGGAAAACCAGAAACCGGGTCCTGCCAGGGGGTTGTAGGGTCGGCTGTGACACAGAGTGAGGGTGGGAAAGCAAAATAGCATCTGTGTGAAGAGCAAGATGAGGCGATGGGGAAGCGGGAGAGGGGAGGCTGGATGTGGATTGGGGACAGAGAGATAACGGAGGTTACAGCGTTAGGGTGACATCAGGAGGCTGCTGCTGTAGGGAGGGCAAGGGCAGGCTCAAAGCTGGCGTTGTGGGCTGTAGAGGTCAAGGAAAGGACAGTGTATCTGATGATGGACCAAATATGCTGTCCAGTTTCTTTACAGCTGTTAAAAGCTTTTGGGATTACAGATTTTTACAGTACAGCACTAAGAGGATCTGTTTAATACCCAACTGGGTCTGAGCCTGTAGGGTTGTCTAATGTGTTGGGTTTTCTTGGTGGGTTTGTTTTASTAACTATCTTCTTGAGGCCCTTAAAGGAGCAGCAGGCACAGTTTGCCTAGGGAGAATTCCAGTTAGGAGAATCTCTTCATTGTTAAGGTGATCAAACACTAAAACAGGGGCCCGGAGAGGCTGGGGACCTTACACTTGGTATTGATAGGAGACATCACTGAGATCCTTGAGCTTGCACCACTGGACAAATAGTCATGGGGCTGCCAGCAGTAGAGAATCAAAGTCAAGTGTATTTCCAAGACAAGGCGGGGGCCGCCTTTAGCTGGGTGAAGAACTGGAAGCCGGTGGGAAGAAAGAGGCGTCCATGGCCTTAACGCTATAACTTCAGTCATGAAATAAAACATGTACTTTCACAGCATTTTCTGACACTAGAGGGTCTTACCTGACAAATTCTCTAGACCAGTGGTTGTGGCTTGTTGTGTTCTAAGAAACTGTACAAAGTACTCTGCTCAGTCATAAGTGTACCAAAGTGTTTTGGCTATCTGGATTCTTTTCTCAGGTTCAGTTTAGAATAGTGTTGAGGGTAATGGTTAAAGGAAAAGGAAAATAAGGGTGCACAGGCAATAGTGGATAATGAAATCTGTGAAAGACAGGCGTGAGAGGAAGGCAGAATGATGTGATGTGGAGTTGAGGGAAGAAGAATTTTATTGGTGCTCTGACTAGTGTTTTACTTTGAATTTCCCCCTCTCTTCCTTCACCCCTTCAAACAAGTGAGGATTGGTAGAGGGAGAAGGGAAAGCTGTGCATGTGTGTAGAAGGAACAAAAATTTTAGTCTGGAGTTTTTATTTGAGGTGGTGCTACTTACATACCATCATCTTGAATGCAGGATGATTGGTAATTCCTGGGTCTAGATCTTCCTTACAGCATTGAGGGTAGTAAAGTGACCAAGAGCTGGTAGCACACAGCTGCATTGCAGAATCTCACTACTGATGACAAGCTTGTGTCCTTTCCCTGTTTGGCCTTGAGCAGCGATGCCTTGCTGCTGAGAGAACTGACAGACAGCTGGTTGCCTGTTCCCTACTATCCAGTCCTCTCTTGGGTTTGAATTTTAGATCCTGCTTTTCTATGTAGTGTTTTTGCTCAAAGGCTTGATAAGATAATCTTGAAGAAGTAGTTTAAATATCAGTGCAGAGCAGAAAAGAGCTGTGCCACAGTTCTTATTTGGGGGTGCTCTTCTTCGAAGTACCCCTGTTTTTGTTTCATGAGCTAAATGTGAATACTACAGGTGGTTTGGGTAGAAGTACAAACAGATGAATTCAGTGGAAAGGCTGTAGATATTTTGCTCTCCTCACCTCTCATTTCTGAAGTTCTTTGGTATGGGAATAGAAAAGCACTCAGGTAAGTATCAGCATTGAGTGTGTGAGTATGTGTGTGTAACTGGTGCTCCCAGGTACTATTGTGTTGCCAAGGCTTATTTAGCTACAGGTGCCAGCCTGATCTCCAGATCAACAGCATGACTTGGTTAGGTTGCAGGTGTTACAGGCACCTATAGTTGGTTCCTGCTCCTTGCTCACCCTTCTGAAGGCTGCTGTGGCTGCTTTATAGTTGTGCATGCAGCACCTGCTTCTTTAGCCATGAGTGTACAGGATCAGGTGTTTGTCTCTGAGGTGGCTAGTTTTGCATCCTGATAAGCTTTGAGGAATTTGAGGAATAGATGCAGTGTGAAGGGTGTGGTTTGAATGCCTTGTTAGTCTGCTRTACTTGGCCCTTGAGGGCACAGAGGTCCCCACAGTGCTTGCATGCCCCAGCCCAGGCTTGTAGGACCATGCCCATTTTGACTTCTTGTCTTTTATTACATGCCCTAACACTTRGAAAACTCAGCTATGGCCCCTGACTACTGGTATCCTGTAAATTAGTGGTCTTTGGAAGTCATTAGGGTGCGAAAATGACTGCRGATAGAGCTTAGCTGAAAAACAAAAAGAAAAGTGAACCTGGAAATGAATGACTCCTTGCAGAGCAAAGATGGGGAGCTGGATTGCATCTTCATTAGCTGGGTCTTCACCTGGCTAAAAATCCCTCCAATACTTAGGTTGGCTCAAAGTTCTGAGTTAATCCTTTTCTCCATTTTCGGCTGCTGAAAGCTTCACAGTACTGTTTGTTGKTTTYTTTCTCTTGCCTGCACTCTGAAAATCRAAATACACCAGACCAATCTCAGCATACTGGCAGAGGTATAGAAAGCAGTGGAGGAAAGGGTGGACAAGGTCTGACACTGGGATAKCTTGCTGTAGTTATTATTCAATGATACTTGGCTGGCTTCTAGGTAATGGGCTGCTTTTCCAGAAATAATGCCAGGTTATTAAAAACTTAATATTTGTAGGCTATTTAAGTTCATTACTACATTATTATGGTGTAAAACTGAAATTAGATGATTGTACTATTTAATTCAATACAGATTAAATTGCTGTCCCATGTGACTAAAACCTTTATGTATTCATAAAATAATGTGGGGATTTTTTTGGTTTGTTTTGTTTACAAACGGGTCATTTTCTGGGAACTTTATAGAGCTGCTGACAGTATGTGCTATAAAGGCAGATGACCTAACATARCAAGTCTGATTATATAAACTAAAAAGATACTTGTAATATCCCAAATATAAGTTTATTGAGGGGGGTAGGGATGGCACATAGCATTTCAGGCATAAGAAGCCTAGGACAAGGGCGTGTAGTGACTAGACATGGGGGGAATGACTTAAAAGGGAAAGAGATCAGGTTTAGTTTAGATGATAASAAGAAATTCTTYACTGTGAGGATGCTGAGGCACTGGAACAGGCCCAGAGAAGTAGATGCYCTATCCCTGTCGGTGTTCAAGGYCAAGTTGRATGGAGCTCTGAGCAGCCTGGACTCGTGGAAAGTGTCCTTGCAACTCCTRTGGCAGAGGGTTTGGAACTAGGTGGTCTTTAAAATCTCTTCCAACACAGGCCCTTCTATCATTCTGTGATTTCCAAGGGCCAAAGGGAAGGACARTATTTCACACAACAGAACAATGACTTGGCCCTTGGTATTGTTTAAAAGCATGGATGTCTGTTCGAGGAAGGTTTAAGTTGGTGAAATGGCTCTTAAATCCTTTCCTAATTTCTATTGTTATTACTTCACCACCRCTATTCCATACCAATACCACTCCCCTGCCCCCCAACCTAGGAAATGGTCTGAGGGTTTGGACAAAAGTGTTTGAGGACAAGTGTAAACAGATAAAGCTGGGCATGTAAGGATAGATATTACAGCTGTACAAGCACATATAGCTGAACTATGTGAACAGAAGAACTTGTGTTCTCAAAGTGAGATGGAAGTGATGGAGCTTTGCAAAACTAAAACTCCTGCACTCCAAAAGTAGTGACTCTAKAGCTGAGATAAAGTTCAGTGAAACTGGACCTGGTATACAAAACATAAACAGTTGTCTGTTGGCTGTCAGATTTTTCAAGGTATTGTATCATATCCTGTTTCTGCTAGCCTGTCAAACTAAATAGGGTATTAATTTGCTGCATTGATTGATTGCTACTTACAGGAGAGGGCACACCAGGAGGAGCTGTTATCTCTCAAATCGCAGGGCTTTCACTRGTTTTTAGCTTGGAAATAGTCCTTTTCAAAACTGATTGTTTCCTTCTACAATGCTGTAGGGAAACCGAAGCTGTTAAGTTTTGTTTGGCTTCTTTCATTAACAGCTTTTGTGTTTTCTGTGATAAACCAGTGAATGTACTGCCACCAAGGCTGCCTGCTCAGGTTTCCTTGTGTAATACATCAGTTCTATTAGTTGGTGTCTTAACAAAAGTAAATGGACACAATAGCAGGTATGTCTCTGTTTTGGAAAAAAAAGTTGTCCGCCACGTAAATAAGAGACCTTTTATTTAAGCTGTACAATGTTTTCTTGTGAACCTGAATTAAAACACTGGGCAGGAACTAATTTTGTTAGCATAAATAAATAAATCTTGCTAAACTAGCTACTGAAAAAAAGACCAGGTTTATTGCTTGCATGCAATGCTTCCCATTGGAAGAGGGATAGGGTAGACAGTATCTAGGGATATCTAGCTTGCCAAATAGAAGGTAACCYCTTCAAATGTCATAGTTTCATATGCAGCAAATTTGAATTTATGATGGGTGAAAAAAGGTTTGGTGGTGGCTGAATGTTGTTCTTTGATGCC